ACGATATCGAGTTAAATAGCAATAATTTATTTATCTTGAGAAAGTGCTATATATTATAAGTGAGATAAACGAATGACATTAAAGGGAATAATAGATACTGCACATAATGTTTTACTTAATAAAGAATATAACAATGTCTTATAGCAATATGTGAGTTTCATGTTTTAAAGATTTCTTTTGATTGATAGCTAGCTGTAACCTAGGAAAATCTGTATTAATCTTTTGAATTATGGCCCTGTCAGGACAAGGGACAATTACATAATATTTTTGGATTATGTAATTAGCTTTCTCTTAATTAAAAAGCCCTGTCTGTAGGCATCAACCTGTAGTTTCTTTTAAAAATTATCTTGTATGAGGAACAACTTTAAAGAGAAGCATATATATAAGTTCATTTATTTTTTTAGGTTTAACACATTATAAGGCTCATTTTATCCAAGTTGTACATACATTGTCTTCTGTAATCTCTACAGAAATGAATAAACATTGAAAATAACAAAAAGGAAAGAAGGCTATCTATCTATAAATAAAATAAACATATAGTAAAAAGGATTTAATTTAATAAAATAAAAAATAAAGTGTAAAAAAGGTTAAAATTTAATAATCAAACAAAAAAGTTATATTTCTTTATTATTATTATTATTATTATTAATATTAATATTTATTATAAGCATTTGTTTTATAATTTATAAATTATAAAACACAGAAATATAAATATAATATATCTATAATAGCTTCAATAGAACTCTTATTAATTCTCAATAAGTTGTTATATGTTTTTTATATAATAGTGCTTTACTTTTTCTTTTATTTTCTAATAAATCTTGTTATTACAACATCAACTAAAAATATTAAATTCATAGTTGATAAGATTTTTACTGTTTGTTATATTTCAGTTAAATTTATATCAACATCTCATATAAATCAAGGAAATATATATATTTTATTAAACCTGACAAGATACAGCTGTAATAATAAAGATATATTCTGTTTTCAGTCTATCCTTATAATTCCTGATCAGGGAGCATATTGCTCTAATTGACATTTCATATCAAATCCATGCCTGATAAAATGGTATATGTTCTGTCTTTCAATACTACTCAAATGGAGACTGAAAACATCACTTTCCCACTGCAGGAGTAAGTGTCGGATTTCCATTTTTGAGCTAATTCCAACTCCGAAAATTCGATTTAATTAAAAGTCCGCCGCGTCTCTTAGCCCATTCGTTTTTTATTGTCTCTAGCTCTTTAATGCACTTGTTTTCAGCAAAAACGAATTACTAGAACGCAAGATAATCAAATATTTGGCTGAATTACATAAAGTACAAAGGTATAAATTTGTGTTAATTCAAGCTGCGGTTATAATTTATCTTTTTTTGATTTTGTGGAACAGTGATTCATCTTTAATAAGACGGAATATATACACCTGTATTAAATCTGATATATGCTCTTTACTCTGATAGGTAGCTAGAGAAGCTCTATACACTGGAAAAATTAAAAAAAATAAGGTAGTTTAAATATGGGGTATAGTGTAGTGTAATTTCCATATTTAAATTAGTTGATTTTTTTTCCACTTGTGCTGAAGGTGACCTTCACAGATAGTGGAATGACTAGAGTCAACTAGCAGAATTGTGGGTGGGGGGTGCCGCAGGTAAGGTTTGTTAGCACTTTAGATATACTTATCTGACTTGATATATAAAAAGAAAGTTTTTTAAAACTGCGTATCTATTTTGATATTCTTTATATGAAACCATAAAGGTCAGGCACCGACATATTATGAAGATTAAAAGTAGCGTAAAGGTGACCTTTAAGCTAGTTTATTGTTAAGAAGTTTGGTCATCAGCAGCAAAAAAAGGCGTCTTTAAAATTATGGACCAGTAATATGTTCTTTATTTATTTGGTTTCCCATTCTTATTAGGTTGGTAATGGTTTACGCTTTTATTTTTATTGGAAAGAATAGAATGTTTCTAGGTTTCAGATCTAATAATACTATTCTATATCTCTAGCTACTTCTTGCTCGGTTGGTTTGTTATATTTGAGATGAAAAATTTTCTACAAAAAAGAAATACCTGAAAAAAAAATGAGCTGCTCAATACGTTTTTTTTTGGGGTACGAGCAGTACTCTTTGAGAATAGATAAATCGTTAGTGATGGGTGTGCGTGTGTGTTGGATATTTCAATTCTTATAAACCATTAATACTTACATTGGAATTATCCAGTACAAAGACCAAACAATAAAATATTACAAGTAAAGCTACGGAATTTTGATTCCTTTGACTATGAAAATGATTGGAAAAAATTAATTTTTGTGAATTGGGTGATATAATTATTAATTTACATATCCAAAGCAAACGGATTTATTTGTAGATATAGATAATACTTATCAAAAGTCGATATAGTATCTGGTAGTTTTTTTTATTAATAAACAGCATAAGTAATATAATGATACATATAAGGATAGTAAAAGAACAAAAAAGTCTTACCATGTCAATGACAGCAGCATGAGATAGAAGCTTTTGATCCATAGCATGTTTTGGAGAGGGTTGTTCATCTATAGTAAAAATTGGATTCAGTTTGATTAATATTAAAGAGAAATATAATAAATAAATAGATAAAAATATTACTGTGTTGGTGGTCGTGTTTAGCTGTAGAAAATATTTTTGGTGATATGTCCTATAAAAAAGAAAGGAAAAAATCAGGATACTTTTATGAGATGATGGCATGAAGTATATTTACTAACCTTGGCTAATCCGGATGGCCATTGTGAAGAGGATGCATCAGAAGGAAACTATACGCGAGTGACTATGGTAGCAGAAACACTTGTTATTACTCAGCTATATTTGAAGAAATTACTAATAAAGAAAAATAAAAAAAAAGCGCCTTATCAAGAACATTTGCAAGTATAAGAGTAAAAGAGAAAGAAAGAAGTAAAAAGAAAAGAGAGGGCGAGTGTCTATGGCAACTGAAACAACTAATTCTTTTTAGTTATATAAAAAAAAGTACTTTAAAAAAGCAGATTAAAAAAAAAGACTAATAAAAAAATAAAAAAATGGGTGGAGACAGCGACGAAGAGTGTGTCTATGGCAACAGAATAAATAAATTCTTTTATTTTCTATAAAGAAGACTTTTTAGAAAGAACATGTCTTACACAAATAGTTTGCAAATATAATAGAAGTTGCAGAGATAGAGAAACAAAGAAAAGACCAATAGCAAATATAAAGAGCAAAAAAAAAGAGAAACAGGAACAACAACAAAAAAAGAAAAAAAAAGAAAAAAGAAAAGTGCGTTTGAAACAAAAGACTGGACTGGCCCGATCAATTGGGTTCTAAAACAGTATGAAAGCCGATTTGCATTTCAGTGATTACAAGAAGTATTAATAGAGACTTATATATCAAAGATATGCTGAATATCTATATAAACCATACGTTTTATACAATTTGTTTACTCTTTCTCCTGCTTTCTTGCTACTTATTGCACTCATACTCAAACACACACACATCAACCCATTTTATTTCAAACAATTTAAGTATGTAAATTTGATATAATTTATTTTTAATTCAATTCAATTCAATTGTATAATAACATCAATAACAGTGTAATCTAAAATTAACAGTTACATTTTTACCTTTTATTATATTCTGTAGACAATGGCTATTCAAAGACGTCAACTCGCTCTTTGTCCCGTTGAGATTACAAACGAACAATTGATGGAAATTCTTTCTACTTTGAAAACTAATATGACAGCCATGGGAACCAACGTGGCAGCTGACATGTCGATTGTACAAGAACAAATCGGCATTGTGGAAGATACATTGCTAAACATGAATAGCAGAATTGGTGTTCTTGCCACCAGCAGCACTGAGACAATCACTGCTATTGACAGTTTAAGCAGGGTCCCCCTCGTTTCCCCTACCAATACAATGGCTAATGTTTCTCAGCCTGCCTTCAACGCCCCATCTGAGTTTAGCAAGAAGGCCTCTAATGATGTTTATGTGAGTATCAACGTGTGCAAAATTTTATTGATGTATTTTCTCATATATTCTATCAGGCCCATATTCGTAATCTCATGTGGGATCCCAAGCTGAAAACAAGAAATCAAGCTGATATCCTGGCAAATGAGAGTAAGCCCAGATGGAATACAAATGTTTTCTTTTATAAGTCGCCAAACAAGGAGTTGGTGGTGCGACTTCTTGAAAACTTGAAGCGCAAGTTTACCTATGAGGGATTTAGAGAGGCAGACTTGAGAGCAAGACTGCACAAAAACTTCACCAGCCAAGTTTCAAAAGCAAGAAAAACCGAAGAGGAAATAAAAGTAACAAACACTCGTTTGAGAAGGGCAGGACGTGTCAGAGATGTAAGTGTAATCTCTAAATAAATAATTTCAAAATAATATAGTTTAGTCTTGAGAATTTTAAAAATACTAATACAAAAAAACTACTATTAGAATCATACTCGCCGTTTACTTGCATACACAGACAACAAAGAAGCAATTGATCTACAAATGAAGAGAGATTGTGACTTCACGATGCAAATGGCAGCAATGTCTGATGGAGAATCTGCAGATGAAGACTTCGAGAATCGCACGAAGAGCATCGTCAAGATTGTTTGGCCAGGATGGAGAAGTGACGAGGTATATTATTTTATATTAATAATTATGTCTTATTATAAAAAATATAAAGTGAAGTATTAACAAAATCATTTTAGTTCAATACTCTCATTAAACTCGTTGATGAGTATGTTATTGAAGCAATGGGGTCAAGTGCTTCTCAAATGAAGGAGAGGGTTTTCACCAGTGTGTCCAATACAGCAGTCCCAGATGACATAACCCCCAAATTTCCTCAGTGGGCCCTTAGAGACGGGTATTAAATAAACAAAAATTGCCTCTCTCTTTTTATCTATATATTACTTTTCACATACAAAATACTATCAATATATATATCAGAAATACGCGCTCTGTTTTTTTTGTTAAAGAAAAAGAAATGTAAAAGTTTACTTTATTTATTATTTAAGTATATAGCTTCTTTGGCAATGGAATTACTAGCATTTTGCTAACATTTCTACTTGTCGCAATAGTAGCTGTAGCAACCTCTAATAAGATGCGATGTACAGGTATAATGCTATGGTAGCTATCAGGAGAGAACGTGGGCAAACAAAATTCAACACCGTCATCCTCACGCGACCTATCAGAGGAAGTACGAAACCACTTGATAAATGTGAATACATGTTGATGATCATGAACCATGCGAGTCAGATGGAGATTGTGCGTGGGTGGAAGTTGGAAGGAGTATGTAAAAAGATACTGAATTTGTCCAGCAAATCCAAGTATAATGTTTCCATTACTACCAACAAACTTTGTCTGAACAAGTGATCCGTGACTGATTGTGCTGTTGTTTGTTCCTCGATAGTGTTGACCAAGAATGTCAATTGACTTCAATTTGATGATTTGATTGTCAAGTGCTGGGCGATTATAGGACGTGTCCTGATAGCTGGCAAGGTCTGGGAGGTTGTAAGCGACTTGGTAATATTCAAGTAAATGGAGATGGTTGGAATCATCCATTACTGATGGCTTTTTGTATTTTAGAGGAAATGTAGAAGGAGGAAGAGGCTCGTTACCCTTGGGTGGATTATAAGGATCAGTGTAGCCTTGAACGAATACTTGCAATCTGAATGGGCGACTGGAGAGAGTGGTGACTGTGGCGGCAGGTATGGAGGTTGTAACAAGTTTAGACAGAGTGTGAATGAAGGGGATCTGGCTAGAACTTTTAAGAACAGCATTGACATAATCACCCTTATACGCATTCTGAACAAAATTTTTCATGTAGGTCGCCTCAAAACCGTCTTTGCCATTTGTCTTGAAATTCTTTAAAATACCATTGTATCGCTCAAACCCAAAGAGCCTGTGGTGATCCAGACACTTGGTTGTTGGATTTATTACATCTAAGAACATATTCCTATTATTATAGTAAAACAGCTATCATTACAAGAACAAATGAATAATTTATTTATTTTACTTATGGTAAATCAATAAGACCAATAATTAATTACAGTAAGTACTGTAATTATGACAGCTCAGTAAGCACTGAGTTAATATGAGGACACTGCAATTAGATTAAATTATAAACATAGCAGTACCAACTCTCTAATATCTAAATGAACTCAGACTTAAGAAATTAAGATGTGACTGACAAAGCAGATCGTGTTTTGATATAAAAAGGACAACTTTGTATTCTTTAATAAAGACAACCTATATACAGTCTCAAAGTATTCTTATATACGTCTCAATCTTTTTACTATTGATTTTATTCTATAAAACTTCACAGAGCCAATAACCATACACTGGTCCAAAATCACGAATGCATTTGTGAAGATGGAGGTGTAGGTGCATATTGCAGGTGAGAATAGTGGCGGTATAGTCTACGTTGCATGCATTGCAAAACTTTTCTAACAGGCTGTGGGCAGTGGTGATCTCATCAAAAGTAATGCTGGGCTTTACGTAGTATCGGCATGCATCAACGAAATACATCCAGTTCTTGAATTGTAATGGGGGGAGAATACCATGCAACAAGACAGGAGAATAAACCAGAACCTATGATTTCCACTTGTCCGCTTTCATGTAGCTGAAGCCCTTTCCAATTTTGGTTGTCAGTGTGGTGTAATCTCTGGGCAGTACCATTGTCTCTGCAATTTTCTCCATCGAAGCAAACTCTTCAGGTCCAATTGTCTTCTCATCAATCCACCGATCCATTAATATCTTAGACGTCCCCAGGAAAATATTATGCATGGGATCAATGATCGTTCCACATACTAGATCAAAGTATCCAAGGCGTTGCAACTGCAACCATTGAACACCATTTTCGACCTCCAGCTGATGCCTTTCTGAGAGTGTACTTGCATCCTTCCACTCCTCAACATGCAACCTGCTCTCTGCACCACTGTGGATATTCCAACAAGAATAATTGAATCCACGGAAATCAACCTGGTTGCTGCTCCCTAACCGAGTAAACTGCCGGCTGCATCTGTAACAAGCACATGTGCTGTTATGCGCTGTGAATCCACTTGTCTTTCTGGTGGCTGGGATATCACATGCAACCATCAGTAGTGCAGCACGAACACTGACACCATTTGGGAATTCGTGTGTAGGAATCCGCATGCCAACGTACAGCTGCTTCAAATCATCCACCAAGGGCTCCAAGTAACTATTGATCTCGCCGGTTTTTGGCTCCTTTGGACCAGGCATGAGACTTACAAGGATAATATTCTCTGGCTTGAATCTTTCATCACGGGGCAAGTTGTTGATGGCCAGATAGATAGCACCAGAGGAGTGAGTGACACCATCAAAGGGCTGGAACCAGTCGATGTTAAGTGTTAACATTAGTGAGTGTGGGTCCAACACAAATGATACACCATCCTTGTCCTTCAACTCCTTCCACATCGCACCATCATAGATATCGCACAGAGTATCTACCATCTTCAACTCCTTATTCCATTGACGAATCTTGGCTTCGAAACTAGGGCGACAGAAGAAAACGCTCAATGTATTTTTAATGGATTGGTAGACATATTCACGCTTTGCAACCAAGGCACCGGAAGATACAGATTTCGTCAAATTACAGTTGCATGCAGACCTGGCACCAAGTTTTGAGAAAACACATCGAGGAGGAGCAGATACGATATCCTGATATACTGTATGACAGTCTTGGCACACCACAAATTTCTTGATGCCTTTTGTAATAGCAGAAAATCCTGTCATTTTTTGTAAACCGGCAAGACTGGTTGGTAATTGAAAATCTTGGTCGTAGATTCTCAGCAGGTTGTTGATAAACTCAATCAAGACAGCAGCACCCTTATCAACAACATGACGTGAAGCAAACAGTACCGTAAAGATGGCTATGAATTGATGGACTTCATTTTCGGGCATATCAGGAGCAGCAAAAGGGTCTGTAAAAAATTAAAAAAAAATTAACACTTGATTTTTCTTTTACTCTCTTTTTCTTTTAGTTTTCTTTATGTATCTCACACTGACCTTCACTGTTGAAGTCCTCAATCTCGATCTCATTGACTTCATCTTCAACATTGTCATCGAAATCATTGTCGTCTCTGTCATTGTCAAACATTGAGGCGGCATCCAAAAAAGGTGAGTTGGCCTGACCGTCCATTGCTTCCACAGAATCGGAACGAGAGGTCAGGATTACTACAAATATGGAATATAATAGTTTATTAGTTTTTTTTTCTGCTTTCAAATAAAAAAAATTCTTACCCTCAGTATCTACATCCATGTTTCTCATTGCGGCTGTGTTTCATTAAAAGTTTAAAAATAAACAACATAAATAAAAAATAAAAATAAAAAATTAAAACGATTATTACGCAGCAAACAAAAAACCAACACTGAATATATTATACTATTCTCAAATATTCTGGTACCTTCAACTCTAGCTCTCTTATTACGACGAGTCTCAGTACGCTTTGCAGCATAAGAAGATTTCTGATGACTGTTGTGACATTTAATGCAGTGACAGTCTAAGGTGTGGGTTTGGGTAGAGGGAAACATATTGTGTATAGCTTGAATTATAAAATAAAAAAGGAAACAAGTACTACAAATACTTTATTTGATGTGATTTTATAGCAAGCCAAAAAAATATGAATTTTTTATTGTCTATCTAAACCAATAGAATACGTCGAAAATACACCCCCAACTTAAATAAAAAAAAACGGCTGAGCTGAAAAAAACCCTGACATTTCCACTACCTTTCTCGTTACTTAAAGCTATAGTATTTTTTTTATTTTTCCAGTGATATGATATATCTTTTTTATTAGATTCTGTTGCAGTGTTTCTTTTTTTTAAGCTGATAGAACATTGTAATTATAGGTACTTCTATATCCTTCTCATTTTTTTTCAAGAAAAAAAAGGCTGCAAATCATACTGACCTGCTTAGAAGCTGTGATATATGTATCAAAATCGAGTTAAATAAAAACTCCGCAATACAAAATACATACTACAATTACGCATATATATACTTTCCGGAAATTATTGGTACAAAAATAAAAATAAAATTTGACGCAATTTTCCACCATTTCTCTGCTCAATTCTTCTTTTTTAGTGTATTGGGTGCATTTTATTTTTGCACCAATAATTTCCAGAATAAGTATATATATATATATATATATCACTATGGCCATAAGAGCAGCAGTTGTGTCAAAAGTAAACATCACTGTTTTTCTTTTCTTTTCAATGGTTGATAGTATCTCTGCAGTTTTAGGTAAAATGTCAAATTTGATTCGGACTAACTATTTATAATGTGGAAGCTAAATTGAAACGTAACTCATTATTTTTTATTTTTTTAAAAAAAATACTACACCACGGCAGATTTTTCGTGTAACAATTTTGTAATTCAGCCCGTGAGTTTATGTTACCATTTTGGGAATAGCTTTTTCATTGAAGTTTCAGGTCCGAAAGAATCGCAAAATTGATAAATGGGATCACAAAAAAAAAATTGGCTGGTAAAATACGATTTTATTTATTTTTATGGGTTGAAAATATTGGGGGTAGATAATTTTAGGCTTCCCATACCTACCCTGCAGTAGCTGCTACTGTAGGGTAGGTATGCTTGCACTAGCAGCTAGAAATATTTAATAGCTATTCTGAAAATGTTTCCAGAAACAAAAGCAAGTAGAATTTTGAAAAACCCAATTGCATGTTTGAAAGCAAAAACCATATTAATGCTTTTAAAATAAAAGCAAAGCTATTAGAAGGACAAGTTTCAAATCCGAGCGAAAATGTCAAACCTGCAAAAAAAACAAAGGTCATTAGTACATAGACTTTTGATGAAGATTTGTGGTATTTCAGGTACGAAACAATAGAAAAATAAAATATTTGAGAATAGAGACGTATAGAAATACTTTGAGACTGTATATAAGTTCTCTTTATTCATAAATAAAAAGTGTCCCTTTTTATAAGAAAACACAATCTGCTCTTGTCATTACGTCTTAGTTTCTTAAGGCTTTCTTCCTTTACTATATTTAGTTATTAGAGTGTATTTACTGCTTAACTAGTGTTGGTGTTATAATTATGACATCAAGTCATAAATCGTACTTCTTTAGCTCTTAGCTATTCTTTTCTCTTTTAAACTAGAGCTTTAGGACTTCCTACTAAATTAGCTCCATATCGCTCTGACACAGTTTACCCGGCAGTATGATATAATTATGTTAACAATCTTTAAGATATTATCTACAGTACTAACTGTAATAATTATTGGCCCGATTACTTCATCGTTTATATATATATTATACTGACAAGGGGATAGCTACTACGCTATCCCAATATGAATATGTTCTTATATGTGATAAATCCAACATCCGAGTGTCTGGATCACCACAAGATTACTATGTTTTAGATGACTTACCACATATTAATTGAATCTAAAACAAAAACAAAAACAGAAAAAAACAAAGCAAAAAAGAAGAAGACATATGTTTATGTTAGTATGGATAAAATCAGTATACGAGCAAGATTCTTTACATATCTCTTTATGTCAAGAATTCACATGCCCTATTATACTTCAATTAAATTTTATTAATCAGAACTCGTAATAGAATCACATCATTAGCAATACCTTTTAAGATCTTAACCATGTGAGAGGATCAGAGTTGATCTGTAGTATAATTAGCTAATGAGTAGCAAGATCATGTGCTATTTGTTGCCTGATCTTTAGAAAAATGAAAAAAATTGTATGAAACAAAAAAAGGCACTCAATGTTTATTTTTTGTGTCAAGCTAAACTGTAACAAATTAATGAATTTCATTGGTTTTTGAAGACCATTATACGCTTATTACTGGTTACATGAATAACACTTTTCATTGGTTTCTGAAAGAAATCGACTTGTTGTTTCAAGATGCAGAAATAAATAAATATATGGTGGTCGTCTATACTCTTTTATCACGTTAGACAATACGTTGCATCACGAAAGCTCTGTGATGCAGCGTATTATTAATTACCCAAAAAATTCTAGGGTGGTAGTTTCTGCTCCCAAAGGACCAGGTCAACACAATTTTGCCTTTGACGATATTGGAAAGACCTGCTCACTTTGTGGAAAAGATTTCGATCGCGTATGGAATCTACGACGCCACCTTACCAAATATCATAAGTTAGCAACTCATATTGCTAACGATATTAGCCCTCAATATGCCGATAGAAATTTAGCGTCACAAAGACAGACCACGAACACTGCCGAGCCGACCGCCCCTGATCACAATGACGATTCCGTTAACAAAGACCTACACGTTGAATCCGATTTGGAGGATGACGACAGCAGTGATGTTGACGACATGAACAGCAATGGCGACGATAATGTTAGCGAGATTGAACTTGATGCCGGTGAAAGTATTATTGAGATGGATGAGGACACCAGCCCCTTTGAAAGTCCAAGTCCAGGTAACCACCTATACATGCATATAAGAAATAGTATGTTGTCTTCTGCATCCAATACCAGCTCATCGTTGAATGCAGATCTCGATTTACTGAAAGAAGCAACTGGATCGCATACGACATGGAACCAGTATACATCAGACACCCACCCATTCCCGGATCTCCAGTCTATGGTACTACTTGCCTTTGTTGATGGCGATAAAGACATGGTATCTCGCAGGATCTTGAAAAAGATCCTGTTTACCATAAGTCTTGTCCTTAAGCTTCACGAGAAAGCTATCCGAAAGAAGTCCCCGTTCAAGTTACCTCGTTTGGATGCCCTCTTGAACTATCAGACCAGGAAAAAGTCCAAGATTCCTGTATTTCCATCCACAAAAGTCGATATCCAGTTGCCGGAAAACAATACCACGTCTGCTTATATCAACTTGCCTTCAGACCACGTCCGGTTTCTTGCTGCCAACCCCAAGAAAGCAAGAAACATGTTTTCCCTCTCTGACCGCACTCCTAACCAGTCCATTTGTCTACAACAAGGCGAAAAGTGGAGAACACATTGGTACTATCAACAACCTATGTTCACCCACAACGGCGTAGATTTTTGGTCTAGTGATATTGTTAACTTTATGAATGGTTCCACTCCAACCCGTTTCCTAGTAGAATCATTCCATACCATGGATAACTCAGCCGTTTTTGTTCAAGGCTACATGGTTTATATTCTGGAAGGCGGTCAGTTCATTGGCATCGAAGTTGAATCTACTAGCATAAAGCTTGAAACTATTCTCAGTGTTGACTCGACCCCTGTTGATGTTGCCCTATGCTACAGCGTCTCACCTGGGAAAGTCTTTCATTTGATTCCCAGGCACAAGTCCTTGCTGGAAGAGCCTCATTTCTTAAAACGGCACGTACTAGACGAAACCGGAAAGCCGATCGATCCAAAGTTGTTTTACAAGGTGAGGATATCGCCCATTATACTCTTCACCGACGACACCTCCGGAAACCGATCAAAGCAATATAACCCATACGAAAGCTGGTCAATGAAGTTTGCTGCTCTCTCCTACGAAGAGAGGTCTTCAATTGAAAACATCCACTTTCTCTCTGCTTTTTCCAAGAAAAAGGGGGCAAGTGGGATGTCCTTGTTGCCTAAAATCGTTGAAGTTTTCAAAAGGCTCGAAAACGGACTGGTGATGTTCTCTGCTAAAGACAATGAAAACGTCTTAGTAGCATCACCACTCCTTTGGATCGAGGCAGACACTCCATGCCATTCTGAACTATGTTGTTTGCGCGCGCCGACAAGTCTGTACCCATGCCGCAAATGTTATGTCCGTTTACAAAGATCCATGCCCAATCTCCAAAGCTCTTCGTATTATACTGGTAGACACACAGCAAGAACAAAGGCACACTATCTTGCTGCTGCGTCTACCTCGGGACGTGGATCAACTATTCCAGATGCTCCTTTGACTGGAAATGCTCTGACAGCAAGCGACCTATGCTTTGCAAATAGGGCAACAGATGCATTGTTGGAACTACAGTCATTCGATCCATTGACAGATACTCCAGTTGAAGTTCTGCATAACATACTTCTTGGAGTTGCTAAGTATCTAGTCAATGATTTGGTAAAGGTTGTACTAAAGAAAAATCCTAACCAAATGGCTAGATTGTCCAAAGCCCTCAAGGATTATGAAAACTCTCAAGGAATGTCAAGAAAGTTCACTCGAGAGTTACGACACTGTGGCTCATTCCTTGGGAGGGATTACAAAGTTCTGCAAATTCTACCCGCTATCTTAGTTACAGAATTTGCAAATGATAGTATACTCTCTCTCATAACTCCATCTTTTGTCCGTCTTGGCCGTCTTTGCTCCTTGGTGTTTGTTAGAGCAGTAAGGTATGATTATAATATGTACATCGACGAAGTTGAAAAGGCAGTTACAAGCCTTATCCAAGAACTGCATCATTATGTCATTACCTGTGAAATCGAAGGACATAATCCGTATTCCTCGAAGCCCAAGGTTCACCTGCTCACACATCTGCCCCATCGATCTATGAAGATTTGGAACTGCTCTACACTACGAGACCGAAAAAGGTGAGCAGTTTAACAAACACATCCGTGAACACCTAATGCATACCAATAGGTTAAACACCTCAAGAGATGTATGTCTCAAGTTCGCCAAGCAATCTGCAATGAGACACATCATTGATGGTAGTTCATGGGTGAGCAAAGACAAAATGAGAGAGAAGTATGGTAATTCCACGGCAGAATTTCTTAAAGAAAACTTTAACGACAATGTTAAGAATATCCTGTTTAGTGGATCAAGAGACTTTGCTGATAATAACGACACTGATGACATTACAGCAAAAGCACTCTGTGACAATACCTTTGTGGTGTTCATGCTCAAGGAGAGTAGAGACCAACATGCCCATCCATTTATTGGAAAGGTCTCCTCTTTGAGAGTAGAACACTATCGAGTTGAGAGTAGTCCCCACGCTCAAGTTAACAACTACCTCCTCGCGCAAAAGGTTTCCAATGATGCATCTACTCCACTTGATCAGCTGAAGATTGTATGTAAGCTTGATATGCACACAGAATTTAACAACAAGCTTGTCATCAATCTCAGTAAATTTGGCTCCTACTGGTTCTTTGTGTGGTGATCCAGACACTCGGATGTTGGATTTATCACATATAAGAACATATTCATATTGGGATAGCGTAGTAGCTATCATCTTGTCAGTATAAAATATATATAAACGATTAAGTAATCAGCCCAATAATTATTACAGTTAGTACTGTAGATAATATCTTAAAGATTGTTAAGATAATTATATCATACTGCCGGGTAAACTGTGTCAGATCGATATGGAGCTAATTTAGTAGGAAGTCTTAAAGCTCTAGTATAAAAGAGAAAAGAATAGCTAAGAGCTAAAGAAGTACGATTTAGGACTTGATGTCATAATTGTAACACCGACACTAGTTAAGCAGTAAATACACTCTAATAACCAAATATAGTAAAGGAAGAAAGCCTTAAGAAACTAAGACGTAATGACAAGAGCAGATTGTGTTTTCTTATAAAAAGGGACACTTTTTATTTATGAATAAAGAGAACTTATATACAGTCTCAAAGTATTTCTATACGTCTCTATTCTCAAATATTTTATTTTTCTATTGTTTCGTACCTGAAATACCACACTTTGTTTCCTTGTTTTCGAATCGACAATATTGATTTTTTTTTTATCTTTATTAATAAAAAAAATTATTCAATAAAAACAAATTGTAATTTTCACCAAGTCATTTTTCGGTTTTGCCAAAATATTGAGAGGGTCCATTTATGGATACTTGCCCTTTTAAAATTGCCTTATGTAGTTGACAAGTCTCATAAAATGGGTCAAATTCGATATCCCGATTAATCTGGGTTATATAGACCAATCAAAATGTATGTGAGTAAAATATTTCCAAATTTGATATCGAAAATCTCCCGTGGTGTATTTTCATCTAGTTGAATTAACAATTTTGTTTAATTTAAGTCTCCTAATGACATGTAGCACATTTAGAGATTGAAAAAAAAAAATAAAGTATGTAGAGAAGAAAACGAATATAGGACACAGAGAGAATTTTTTTAAAGAAATATATAAGGCATGTAGAAAAAAAGAATATGGGATCTAGGGAATAAAGAAAATACTGTCTTTAGTAAGACACCTATTGTTGCAGAAGATGTAGTAAAGCACAGTTACATAGAACTGATTTCCATTTGGTAGGTACTAAATTAGTCTAACTTAGTGCCAATTGCCGTTTACACTTATGGCTGCACATGTTGGTTGTGTTTGATGGCCTGGTGTGTTGTCACCAGGTGACCGCTGTTTGTCAATATACAAACGAGTCGTGGCCGATCACGTCATGTTCCTTCATGACATCAACAAACGCAATGAAGTGTAGAATACCATGAGGATTTTTATGCTTGAAGTAGAATTGAACCGTATCAGCGAGCCAGATGTGCACAGTTGTATTACGATTTCTAAGGTAAATATAAAAAATAAGCAACTTTTATTTGTATACTAAGTAATATTATACTTACTTTCTGTAAAGACAAGTTAACATTACGTAGTAGTTGCCACGACTACTCTCGTTTCACCTTCTTCGATACATACACAAGGAGTACAAGTTCGAGATCATCCATAAACGAGCAGTAACAACAATAGTGGAATCAGCAAGTTCATAACCGGCCAAGCTTCAATTTTTTGTATAATACCTTGTTAAGGCATTCTTCACACTAGGATCGCTTACACCTTTCACTAAATTATCCTTCGAATTAACAAATCCATAAAACGGCCCCCACAACTGCGCATCGTTATGATCATCAGGAATATTCATATAACTTTCTCTACCATATGTCTCGGTTTGAATGAGATTTATTTCTTCGTGGACACTGATTGCTGTGCTAACAGTTATATATTGCAAAATGTTCAACAAGAAAACTAGCATTTTGGCCACACTTACACTTGGACTTTATTAGCTTTAAGTACACACCAATTGCTATATTCGTGGGTCAATTGGAGTTACATATTAGAGGTATTTCCGTTTGATAATGAAGGGTTTATGGATCACATAATGCTGTACTCGGCCGAAAACACTGTGAGATAAGGTATTGTTCTAAGCTTGTTGGTATGGAAGTGTGTGCCAGAGTTTTAATTGTCTTTTTTTTTTAAAGAAAAATAAGCTAATAGTAAGCTGCGTCTGTAATGATATAATGTGAAGTGCATTATGACTTACGTTTCTACCTTGCTTGGCAACTGCGGCATTCAAAGACCATAATAAGGCAAGCGCACAACCGTTTATGAGTGATAAGAGATCAATTTCGACAGGACTGTTTGGCAAGTAAGGTACGACCAATGCCGTGAGGAGATACAAAAGGGAGTCAATCCAATCAAAGGCACGAGTATTACCAATTTTTGGAAGTACATTATCATAACTGTCTTGGAATATGGAAGTATTATTCGATGATGTTGAGGGTATTGTTTGGGCTGATATAATATCATTTGTTTTATTCTTTGCAGGTTATAGTAATTAACTCATAGATGTTTTTTCTGATACCTTTTGCAATTAAATGGAGTTCATTTAAAACAACAACGGATATCCAGAGAAGAACAGTAGCTCACGGAAGACACTGGGTTGGTGAATGTTTTTAATATATTATAAAGAATTATTTAGTACAAAGATGTGCTGTATTTTGAGAATTTGGTTACTTACTGGGTTGCACACTTTAAAGTTTTCTAAAGGTAATAAACGAGCATTAGTGTCTTCTAAGTAAGTACCATGGCTTATGTTATAAGGGATTTTATCCTTTGTATCACAGATTTGACAACCAAATAAACTGTTATGTCAGCCAAAGTCCGCCATGTCAGCTACAACTGGGATGTAAATAAAAGCAAGATACAAACGATTATTCGCTTTTTTCTGGCAATAGGTTAGAAACTAATGGTGTAGACTTACCTATCATAATATATTTACAGTAGGTTACAATTGTTGCTGCTGCTTTTGAAAGCTTTTTTTCCCTCTATATAGTTCTCGTCTGCCAGAAATGAGCATTGAAATAGCTCGAAAAAGACCCCAAACATCTTAGTTCATAGGCTTTGATTGGTTCAAAAGGTTTTTTAGCTTATCTTTAATACGTTTTTTATACATATTTTTTCTCTTTTCTTTTTGAACGAAAGATTCAGTGCCTTGTTTTAATATGTGATTGGTACTTTTATTATAATCAGAATTGTCAATTAATGTACAACTTCTGCAGTCTCGTTGCAATCGATTTTTGAATGAAACAGATCAAAGCCTTTTTTTAAAAAAAAACGAAAAAATAAAATACTATCATTCTTGTACTTTTATGCCATAACCGGAAATCGCTCTTTTATATGTAAGTATTTTGACAGAATAGACATATTGTGTTTATAAAGCGATGCTTATTCAGCTGTCGCCAACTAAATCAAAATTGGCTTCGTGTTATATAGCTTGAATATTTTTCAGGCTTTTCTTTGGTAATAACTTTGAATGGTACTCACATTTTCTTTTTGCCTTTCTTGTGGATTTTCTGACATACTTTAATGATATATAAAGCTTACATATTAATACTCTTTTTTAATATATATATTTTTAAGGAAAACACTTGCTGTACTGAACTAGCAAACATATTATACAAAGGTAAGCATTATAATATGATATTTTTATTTCCTTGTTTTTTCTCTATCATCGGTATATTCCGAAGAAACTGGTAAGAAATTATACAGGCCGTCTAGGCTACATCAAATTGTCAAAACATAAGTGATACAATTGGAATAAAAGTATTTTACTTTGTACACTTGCAGTAGTAAAACCATACCGTTCTTTTTTAGCAATAATATTTTTCATATAATGAATTATTAATTAGAACAAAAATTCAATTGGATTCAATTCAATAAACAATACACGGTTCTTTTAATACGGCAAATGAAAAGCGAAAGAATGTACTAGTATTGAATACAATAAAGCAAAAGAAAGGGTGTAGTAAAAAAAATGGGAACTTTGCCTCTGATCGCGCAATACAGATTCATAACTGCCATTTTTTAAGCTTGTAAGAAATGGCAGTTATGTTACCAAAGTGGTAGTATGGCGCCACTTTTTTAGCACTAGTGCATGCTTGTAACTCAAGAAAAACAATATATCTACTTAATACAAATAAATATAGTCCGCAGACAAATTGGCATATTCTTACAAGCTTGAATATTGAAGGTCAAATTCCCAAATCCTTTGACCAAGTGACTGGACATTGCGAGGGTAGCACTGTTATTCAGAGTCTTGTATATTCTGCCAGTTATCATAAAAAGCAACCCGATGTCCAAATGCTGATAAAAAGACTTTTATTAAATAATAGTAGAAAATATATGAGGAATGCAAACATAGATGCAAAAAATGGGCATGTGAATGGCTTAATTAGAATCTTGAAGAGGATTGATTATGGCCAGAAACTTGTATCCAAGAGTGCTAATTTTGAGACATACAATCTTCCTTTTTAACAAAGCCATTAAGATTACCGATTAAATATGATGATGAAACAAGTGAGAAGCGAGTTAAGAGACAGTGAAAAGAATCTATGTAGACTTGGGATATTGATGATCAAACAATGATAGAACCCCTTGTACCGTAATTCGCAGATATATAAAAAGTTAAATACATCTAACTAATACTCAATTTCCAGTGGCTCCCGTTGAAGCAATCACTGTACTTAAGTCACAATGATTTACATACAAATCAACTGTTGATTTTGACCATGCTTGATACAAAATATCACTATCACTCCTATATGTTGAACGCTCCGGGGCCTCTTTTGCCAATGTCCTAACATTTATATGCAAGAGTAACCTATTTTCTCCACCCAACTCCTAACCGAAAATCGAAATAGCCAGATACAAATTGAAATCAACAGATATAAAGCAATATAGCTGTAAATATAATTTGCTCTCCTATGGAAGCAAAGAAGGAAGGAACTAAATATAGCTAATATGATATGATTTACGCATATTGAGAGCACACATTGATCAAATAACCAGCAAAAGCATATACTTGATATCGGACATTCTCCATTGAAATGAAACACGGATAATACCAAACCAAGAAATCTGTAGTATTTCAGTGTTAACATTTGTATCTTTTTTAACAATAGTCCAACCAATGCTCAAGTTTTTGATGTTTGCTGTTATGCTCACATTTCTTTTTTTTTATATCTAAAACAATTGAATCAACTCGTGTAGTTTTAGTTGTCTTGAACAAAGTTCTATATTGGAGCATATATGCATCTCAATTATGTTAAAGAAGTACTTTAATGTAAGCCCTCGAGATTGTTGTTAGTCGTGCTTGTATGCATAAAGCACTTGGTGGAGATTGCAACTGATTTCACAAAAGAATCAACCAAGAAAACGACCTTAACCCATTTATGAATACTAAAAATATGACCACTCCACTCCCCAGCAACATTCAATCGGCAAGAGTTTCACAACTATACCAGTTCTGAATTCAGGAAAATATATATCCTTGACCAATTGAGATGCTCCTTTGTGGACAAAATTTATGTAATTTATGCTTATTATTTTATATATCTATTTATCTATCTTTTTTGTGTTAACAAAACCGGTATAAATGATTATGCAAGAGAGAAAGAAAAAAAGAATCGAGTATATCGCAATATAAAATCGCTTTCTTAATACAGACATGCATCTTCCCCTGAGATGATTTTTCATTAATTTTTCTAATCCTGAAAATTACATATAAAACGAAGCGAATGGTTTTTTTTTAAAATAATAATAATAATAATTAAATCAACGCTGTCCTATATTATATTATATTACACTACACTACACTAACTTACAGTATACCATAACTTATTCTACAAATATCAACAGAATAATATTCATAATTCACTTCTTTTTGAATATTCTTAGCTTCTTTAATTTTCAAAATTTATCTGATAATCCCACTTTTGAAGAGTATGAGGACAATCATCATTATGATAATTGACTTAAATTTTTGTCCATAACCAGAATAATATATAAAAAAAACCCCCCAAAATATCCGATACTAATGTGTACAGGATAAGCACAAGAGAGAAGAAAATGGGATATGTTTAAGATATGCTTCATAAAGTTATACAATACTTTTTATTATACGAAGGGTTTATTTCTATTCATTTTATTCAGTTTCTTGCTTTGTAGAGATAGAAAAAAAAAACCGTGACAAAGTCAATTGAAACATTTATAGTTGTGATTTATATAAATATACCGATTGCATATTAACATTTAATTTTTTTTAAAAAAAAAAACTCCCAATACATGTCTCCCGATAACATGAGTCCTTTCTTTTACCTTTTAATACTGTCGATATTCCTTACAGCTAAACTAATATTTACAATCAAATCCCCAGCCACGACAAATTGTAGTGTTTCTTAAAATGTCATAACCTATCAAAACAACAATAACCACATATTGTTCAACTCAACTCAATCCAATTCAAACCAAACGATCCCAATTTTTTCTATTGGATCATCAGCAAGATGCAGGGCACATTTTAATTATATTTTATGGGTTGTTTGTAATGAATTGTGAGGGTGCTTTTTTAAAACAAGTCAACATTGGCAGGGAACTCAAAGACAACATCCTTGCCGGTGAGCTTCTTGTAGACAGCAGAGAAAGTGTCGAGCTTGTACTCAAGGGAGGTGGCATCCTTGGTATCAAGGAAGCTAAGGATTTTTAAGAAGCAAAACAAAATTTTGTAAGCATAATAATATTAGAATAAAATCGCCCTTTTTTCTCCATAATTAACATAGCCTCCTCATCTTAACGATGTTAAGAAAGAATATATACCATCACCAAATACCCGAATGTTTCTTTTGGTATTCCAAAAAGAAAAAAAGAAAAATTACAAAAAAATAACACTTACACCTTGATGGTCTTGGAACCGTCAACAGCAACGCGGGTACGCTTGCCAACAATCTCGGTGGGGTAGACGAGATCCTCGAGGATAGCCTCGTGGACGGCAGTCAAGGTACGGGAACGGGGGCGGGGCTGCTTAGGGTTCTCGCGACGAGTGGGGGTCTTCAAGATACGACGCTGGGCGATGAAGACAACGTGGCGGTCAGAAAACTTCTTCTCGAGCTCACGGGTGAGTCTAGCCTGGATCTTGTTGAAGGCCTTCTGGGAAGGAACGGGGACAAAGACAACGATAGCCTTCTTTCCACCACCAATCTCGATCTGGCAAAACACAAGAACAAAATATGTTAAACTAATATCTTTTAAGAGTATCGCTCTTCTTTTTAAGAATTTTTATATATGTGCTGTCAATCGTATATTTTTTGTAAAGTAATTGATTATTACCTCCTTGGCACCACTGATCTGGAGTGCCTTCAAGTCCTTCTTCAACTCGGGAACATTGTTCTGCAAGTCAACGAGGGCCTGGGCAACGGAAAGCTCAAACTCATCGGAGGGAGCGGCGCCGGCGGGCTTTGCAATCTTGTTAGAAGCCATGTTGACTATCTGGTTGAATTGTAGACGTATGGATTTCGTTGTTGTTTAAGAAGAGAGTATGGTAATACGACAGAGAAGAACGATTGAGATAAATAGGAAGCAGAAGAAAAAAGAAAAAAATCAACGGTGTGTAAGTGAGCTTGGTCTTTGTTTTGTTTATTCTGTTGTTGGTGTTTGTAAGGCGTCATGTTGTGTTGGTGATGCCATGAAAAGAAGTGTTTTTTTTTTTAAAAAGACATGCCAAAAGAACGAAAAAAAATAGACACAATAGATATGACCGTATCCATCGATTGATAGATCGATAGATATGTCCATCCATCCTTTGTTCTTCTTCTGTTTTGCCATGTCCTTTTTACTTTATAGATACATATGTATATATATATATATAATTGGTTTCCATCACTGTTTTGCTATTACTATTGTAAGTGGTACTGGCTACGTACGTGTTGCAAATGGAAAGGAAGGAACTTGATGATATGGCCTTGCTTCCCTCTTCATCAGACTGCCCCGTTGCGCTGCCACAAGCGGAGGCAAGATTAGTCCGGTCCGGATTATAATCTACCAGTCACCCTCCCCGGATTTTAACAATTTTGACCCTCTTTTTTTTTCTTTATTTTTCTATATACACTTTTGAATCACCGCAAACAGAATGCTTAATCAAAAGACGCTTGTAAATCTTTTTTTTTTTTGGTTGCTTAATAATTCTTTCTTTCTTTCTTTCTTTCACTAATTACATGAACCATTTTCTTTCGAGTACAACGCTGAAAAATATTTCTTTTACCTGTACTGTATTAATTGTAAAGTAATGGTAAAATAAGAATTTTTCTTTTTATTATTCTGTTAATCAACCGCCATACCTTGCCTTGAATTGCCTTGATATAATAATACATAACCAATTGCGCATCATTCCATTCCAGTATAAAACTACTTTGAATTGGTTATAAATTCTATGAGAGCACTAGAAAAACATTAGTAAATGTATGCACAAGGAAAAATTATAATTATAATAAATACTCATTATTAATACATTAAGCTTTATATTTATATATATTCTTAATTTCTAATGATAACCACAATCGTAGTAGTAGGAGTAGTAATAGTAGTAGTAGGCATTGAATTAATTAATATAGGAATATTCTTTGTTTTCTTTTTAATTATTCATTTATTTAAAATAAAGGAGTATTTAAATTACAAATTACAAATTACAAATGAAAATCAAATGTGGTACTTTTGAGCTAAACCTAAGCGTTGGACAACATATTTGGGTAAACAATAGACTGGATCAACCTCTTTGAGACCTGGATAACCGAGTAAAGACAGACCAGTTACACCAAATAAGGTGTGAAACACGTCAACCATATCTCCAGGACGATCGGAAATACCACCATTCTCAGGATCCTTTTTGTTTAAATTTATGTTTTATTTCTTTTGATTCTTAGACACTTCTCTCTCTCTTTATCGTTAACTTCTATGCACACACACGCATGTACATCTATATTATCGCTATTTTTTTTTTTACCTGTGCTGATAGAATAAAGGCTATCAATTTGTCTTTTGCAATCCAATGTAGTCGTCCAAGTATAGAAAGTGAAGAAAGAACCCACCATGAATAGCAAACCTGTAATGAAAGAATGTCCCCATTTTTCTTGTAAGAAGCTTGCTTACTTTTCTCTCTTTTTAACTCGCTAAATCTCATCATCAACATATTTCACTTTCCATTTCCATTTCCATTTTCTTTCATTTTCTCATTTGTACCAAAATAGTAATAATAATAATAATAATAATAATAATAACCAAAAGCATTGACCTACATCTTCAAGTTTCTCTGGTCTTCCATTAAGTCCGCCGTTCTTTAGTTGGCGCTCGCATAACCACCAGCTGAGCAGATCAATGTCGACGTGGTGAAGAGCATCAGCAATTGCTAGTGCGGCTACACAACAAAAGATCTGGCCAGCATGGGACTCGCTTCCTGGCTGATTACCGAATCCTCCGTCGTAGTTTTTACATCTCAAGATCCACTCTACTGCTTTGTCTACGTCAATAGCATCCAAACGGCCCAATAGAGACAAAGAAGAAAGAGCGATATATGAAAATCGCGAGTCTACTTCGCCCCAAGAATCACCACAGAATGACCCGTCTATCTGTTGTTTACTGGCAATATCTACAGAAATATAATAAGAAAACAGAAACAGAAACAGTATTTAGGTATTTAGATGTATGTATATGCGTTTCGTTCTTTCTTTCTTTCTTAGTTTGGATTTCTTACATTCAGTTGCTTTGGCAACATCAATCTCATTAATTGCATCATGAATAATCAGAATTTGAATTGCTGACAGAGTATATATCAAATGTGGGTCGTGGTCAACATGACCTCCAAATCCACCATTGGAGTGCTGAAGTCCGCGTACATAGGCAATCACATCTTTTTTGGCAAGAGCATCCACATTGTTCATCAGGTCTAATGCGGTGAGTCCCCAATAAATACCGTTAAGACGAAGATGTTCTGTCAGCCAATACTCAAGGTCTTCCTTTCGAGTATCTAGAGATTGGATGTATTTAACGTGCAGAGGTACAAGTAACTTGGTAGGGTTTGTTTCAGGATGTTCGGCAGACATTTTTTGAAATAAATATATGTATATAGTTGAGTACTAATCTAAAATTTTATTGGAGAGAAAGAGAAAGGGGAAGTTGGAGGTTCAGCTGTTTCTTCTATTTTATTATTACTGTTTGTAAGAGTAATGTGTAAATAAGGTGAAAAAGTATAGATGGATAGATTAAGGTAGAGTGATGGAGGTAGAGATGTTCCTGACTAGCAGTCACTTGGTTTTGTAGATTATTAAAGGCAACAAAGAACAAAATAAAATGATATAATACAATACAATACAATACATATATATATATATATTATAAAACTTCAAGTCAAGGAAAGGAAGCTTGACCAAAAGAAAAAGAAGAAAATAAGGTGTATTCAGCAATCAACATCATGTCAGACGATCGAAAATTAGCCAATATTCTAGAGACTTATTTTAGTGATGCCAATCTTTTGTGGGATAAAGTTTTGCAAAGCAAGATTAACAATGATCCTGATGGCTGTAAGAAAGAAGGAGTAATAGTAGTATTAGTAGTAATAGTAGTAATAGTAATAGTAGTAGAGAAATAAAGGAAGGATCAATAATAGCAGATTCCTCATCCTAAAAACGCGAATTGTTTCTTGTAGTTGTCTCGTTTAACTCGCTGCAGACACTATCTCGTTTTAAGAAACTTAATGCAACTGCACAAGACATTAAACATGCTGCAGTAAATCATTCACTCTCGAAACTAAAGGTTATTTTTCAAAACAAAAAAAAACTTAGAATATAGATAGAGATGGAAATAAAGATAGAAAGAAGATGTACGGGTTCCAAAGTAGGTAGCCCAATATTTGATGTGTAATCTAATACACTATATTACATTACACACAACAAACATACTGTATGTACTGTATGCACTGTATGCACACTTTCATAGCTGGATACAAGTGGAGAATCTATTGGGCGTATCAAACCATTTGTTCTCAATAAAAAAGAGGAACAGGATGACTGGTCTATTTATGTGGCAAGTTGATAATTGATTATTATTGTTATTGGTATTACTATTATTTTCTGGAGCGTAAATAAATGTTAATGATAATACAAACATATGTATATGTATGTATAAATGTATAAATATTAAACCAATACAAAAATAATGTGCTCAGGAAGGCCTCCAGAAGCCATATCACACCGAACAAGCCATCAAAGAGTTATTTGGATCTCTTATTGGGCATGTGTCCTTTGTGCGAATTCCAAAAAATACGCAGGGTTGTAGTGGCTTCTATGGATTTTGCTTTGTAGAGTTTGACGATCGTGATAACGTAAACAAGGCAGTACGACTATTAAACCGTTTCAATACCAGCGCGCTTTGTTCAGAAGACCAGTCAAATATCGTTAAAACAAACGAAAAAAAAGGGGAAAACAATGTTGAGGATGGTGATAAAAATAGCAACGAGAATGTTATAGAACAGGCAAACAAGTTGAGCTTAAGAGTAATGTCAAAGTGAGTCCCCCATTTTTTTGCAAAAAAAAAAAACAATAAAAATTACATTAGTAATAATAACAAAATCCTATAGGTCCGACTGGAATAAATTAAAGGAAGAGTATCTTGAGGTACAAGCAGCCCGGGCAGCTTATACAAGAGATCAATGGAGCAAGTATTACGCATCTTTACCAAACACTGCTGAAGAAATCCCAGGACCTGAACCACAGCAACAAAAGAAGAAGAAGGGGGAAGAATTACCAGAAACGATGGAATACACAAAGGGTATTATTGTCTATGTTGGCAACATACACCCAAAGAGTTCAAAGACTGTTATTTCTGTAAGTCGTATATATGGATATAATGTATGATTAGTGTTGGCACAGCGTATTTGTTACAGACTTGTCTCATTTTTTGTATTATTATGATTATTTATTTATTTCTGCGGTCAAAAGAAACTACTTGAGAAATCCGGTCTATTGGTTCCTTACATTGGGCGAAAGAAAGGCCTTGACTATGTAATACACATGAATGAACAAAAGAAATTAATGAATGTGTTTTGAGAGAACCTTTGTGTTAATGAGTTTCTTGTACCTATTATTTTTCTTTTTCTTTTTGTCTTTGTTTGTATCTGTCTAGTGTCATGCTCGTCTAAGCTCACCAGAAGATGCGCAACAACTCGTCAAGTACTTTGAAAATCACCCAGTTATCCAGGAAAACCATACAGATGACACCGGAAAAGCCGCTAGTACAGCAGATATGTTCAAGGTTAATTTGAGAATCATCTCTGGAAAGGAAGAAGAATTCTATTGGCAAGATGACATTGCAGGATCAAAGAAACTGTTTACTTAGCTTAGTAGGATAACAACGATATTTGTCTAAAACAATAAACATTGAAACATAAAAATAAAAATGAGAAATACAGTAAAACATATTTGTAAAGCGCGCAACTCGAAAAAAAGGTGCATTTTTAAGAGTTACTAACCGTTATGAATGGATCTTCTTTTCAGATAAACAGCACATAAAAGTATTCTTAGGCTATTAAGAATCATAATTAAAATTCTAGCCCTATTCCCTTTTTTTTGTTTTTTTACAATGCATGCTCAACTTTTTGTTTAAATATGAAAAACCGAAAAAATAATAATAATATTTTATCCCAAAAATGCGCCTTAGATCCTCGAGTTGTGCACCTTATATAGTGTGTCTCGCTGTACGACCCTTAAACTCCACAAAATCTTGTAAAAAATGCCTACGAGTCGCTTTTTTTCTTTTATGGTGGTAAAATACACCGCAAATTTCAAACTTTAGTAGAACGCAAGTTTCACTCCAATATAAAAAAAAGTCGTAAAAAAGTATATAATAAGGAGATTACATATAAAAAAAAACAAATTAGACATTTATTAGTGACGTTGCATTAAATAATTAAAAAAGGAAATAATATTGTTGTGGGGTCCACCCCCCCCCCTCCCCCCTCTCTCTCTACACCGTCCCCCCCCCCTTCCTTTTAACAAATTTTTATTCGATATCGTCACGGCTTCTTTACTATCACCCACCTCACATAAGAACAAACTACTCCGTCCGTCTGTCTGTCCGTCCCTTTTTTTTATTATATTATATTATATATTTTATTTTATTTTACTTTACTTTTTTTTATTTTATTTTATTATATTTTATTATATTTTATTTTTGTAGAATATATACATATACATATACATATATTTATTTATTTCTCAACACAATCGATCATCTTGCGAGATCATTTAAACCGATTTGAAGAAAAGCGGAAGAGTCTTATAAACATCATCCAACCATGGAATCTACCAGTCAAGGAAGTAGTATTCACGTTTTCCGAGTTGCAGGCAGAGCAGGACGTACCAGAGGTGCTTCGTCTGTCAACACAGTTGGTGCAAAATCTCGTACAAGTTTATCAGCGGAGACCAAGCGGAATATTTGTGAAGACCACGAACAGAACCCAAAGTGGACTCAAGAAGAGCTTGCCAAAAAGTATGGTTGTAAGCGTACGACTGTAGCAAAGGTAAAATAAATAAATAAATAAAGATAAAAAAATAAATATAAGAATAGGAATAGGAATTGATATAGTGACGTGATCTACAAACATTGTAACATACATACACACACACACACACACACACACACACATATATATATATTATAAGAGAACCATTGCTACATATGTACGCTACCTTCTACACGTTATTATTTACTCACATCATCAATGTAGATTATCAAAGGCAAAGATAGATGGCTTGCTATTGATCCGCATGCTGCAGTCGCCAAGCGGCTAAGACAACGGAGCTCGAGATATCCCCTGGTGGAGAATGCGGTGATGATATGGTTGGAAGAGGCACAGCAGCAAACGGCTGTAACTGACCAGATGATACAGGACAAAGCTAGAGAAGTCGCACAATCGTTTACAGTCATGGGAGCAGATGAATTCAAGGCATCCACTTCTTGGCTGGCTAAATTCAAACAACGTTATATGGTAGGCACCCAACAGGCATTTTCTGTCAGAAAACTCTCTCAGCGACCTGATTTGTCTGACGAACAATGGGCCTATCGCTCGGCTGTACAAAAGTATCAGAATGTATTCCCTGCTGCACAATTACCCTCTCAAACTAGTGGTGGTGGCGCTACTTCTACTTCTACCGGTACTGGTACTGGTTCTGGACATACTGCTTCCGAATCTTCTTCTTCTTCTTCACCCGTTTTTGTTACTTCGGCTTCTTCTTCAAACATGAGAGGACTCGCTTACAGACCAGACGATATCTCAGAAGGTCAAGATAGCTCAGATAATGATTCAATGGAAGACGTTTCTGTTTACCAACCCGATCCACAGTCGCCAGATGCACATCGTACCTTGACTGACTTGAACCAGACTGCGCGGAAGACAATTCAAACCCTTGAACGTATGGTAGAACAAGATATTCGATCTGACAATAATAATAATATTAATAATGATAATGATAATGATATTGATAATGATATTGATAATGATACGGAATGTGATCTTAATTCTCACTCTGTTCTCTTCATGTCTATGTCATCACCATCATCATCAGCACTTCCTTCAGACGTAACAAGCCATGAGAACCGATCGTCCGTAACAGACGTAACGATGTCCCTGGCAGTACCCACAAAAGCCGTAGAACCATCAGCAACGTTACCACACTCTACCACTATAACAACACCAGTAACACCATCAACAACAAGAGCATCATCATCAACAACAACAACAACAACAAGATTACCAGTTCCTGCAATACCTATAGTATCATCGACAGCGGCTGGGGTTGGGGCCGGGGCTGGAGTAGGAGCAGGAGCAGGGTCAAGTGCCACAACAATTAACACAACCAGTACGGCAACAACAGAAAAAACAATGGTTGTAGCTCATACATCAGAAAGTCCACCGGCTGGAGTACCTTCTTCAAGAAACGGTCTGTCTGTCAACTACCAAAATCATCCGCCTCATTATCAAACTCCAAATGGCAGGGAAACCATGACAGACAGACAGACGCTCAAGGGTGTACTAGAGAACCTTATACGACTTGAAAAAGATATGAAAGAGGCTGAATTACAGCAATATATACGCGCGATGGCCGACATATTCAATACTGAGAAAAACATAGAACAAGAGTGTGCTGACGATAGAGACGAGACAGTAAAAAAGAGAGCACAACAGCATCTCGAACTTGCTTTAGAATACTACAACAACCAAGGCATGGAAAGAAGCATGTCAGCACGTCTCATTCAACTCATTCTTCATCAGGATTTCCAATAAATGACATACAAAAAAGAAACACAAAAAAAAAGATGAGACGATTGTTTTGCGTTCTTGCGGCATAACTACAAACAAACAAGGACATACATAACTCATACATTCACACATTCGCACATTCGCACATTCACACATTCACACATTCACACATTCACACATTCATATATTCACACTTTCACACATTCACACATTCACACGTTCACTCACTCACTCACTCACTCACTCATATACTGGCACGTGCAAACATACATTTACATTTACACTCACGTATATACATATATATGTTCCCTCATTCAATACAATGATAATAAATGAAAGACTGAAATATATATATATATATATATATAGAAATAAAATCCAAATCCAAATCCAAATCCAAATGTAAATGTAAATGCAAATCAAGCTTCAAATATGTTACACATTTTCATATACACATTCTCTGATAACCACTAGATAGATAAACTTAGAATTCCGAAATCAAAGAAATATATCAATACATATACAGTGCAACTGGTAAATTTTGCCCATTCTGAAAAACAAAAAAAGGAATACCGGTTTCGATATTTCAATTTACTATATGTGCCTATAACCGATTGTACGCTAATCCTAGGGGGGGGGGGGGGGGGGGGGGGGGGGGGACGACATTTTCAGGATGGAAGACGACGTTTTGATTCTACCAGACCACAAATTGGGGGTTTTTTTTTGCCGACATAGAATAATTCTATCTGGTCCCTAAGAATACAAAATATTCATATCAAGATTTTCTTTTATGCTTTGAAGAAATAAAATTAAAGATAAAAATAAAAGGTGAGTAAGGATCACTTACCGATTAGGGCTGTCAATGCTTATACCTGGATTGTTTCCAATGACAAAACGTGGGCCACTATCTCGTAATATAGATAAAATAAGTGAAAGAAAGACAAATACATGATACACGTAAGAAGGCCAATAAATAGTAAAATAACCAATAAATTGCGTCTCAAAGTTTGTGATGACAACGGCTCCTTATAATCTTCTGTATAACTGGTTGTTTATTTTGTCTATTTGTGAGTGATTATTATTTTTTATACCTACGTATAAGTTTAGTGTTACTAATTGAATATACTATATTCTTTTCAGGACACATTGTTTTGTCCTGCCAGAAAATGTCGGCACTGTAGGATTGCTATTCTTAAAAGATTATTAAGAGTTCAATACAATGCAACACCCTCACATTATCTATGTAGATATTATTATCATTACTACTTCAAGTAACATAGACTTTTTATTTTAGTTGTAACTATAACTGTGATTTTATTATATATATATATGAAATCCATAGCAATATTAAGAACTATACAAGAATACAATGTAAATCAAAAATACATTTGGTGTGGACAGACTAAAAAATTCAAGGAAAGTTTAAACGACTTTTATTAGCTAGTCTTCTTCTACTGTCGATTTGATCGAAAAGAAGGTTATGCTTTTGATGGAAGAAACGGTACTATGGGGAGTTAATTAAATCTAAAATGCATTTGAAGCAAGTTTAATTTTTTATTTTATTTTTTTAAAAAAAAAGGTACAAACAGTTAGAAATTAATTTGATTGGCTAAGCTCATTTTGATCTTTGCTTGAAATTTTCAGTCCATCCACACCAAACTGTAAATAATAAATAACGTCTTCTTCGTAGGCTTATATACTTTAACTCACCAACAATAAAGACATCAAACTTGACAATGACAATAACAGTAGAATTCAAATTAAAATTATTATCATTAACATCAACATCAACATCAACATCAACAATGACGACAACAACAAAAGAAAAACAAAAAAGAAAAGAAATAGTCGAAAGATATAAAAAAAAAATACGGACTAAACTAACGTTTAACTCTATCGATACGTTCAAGAAGTCGTTGCTTTACGGTCGATGTTTGAGTTTTTTTACTTTGTATTCCATAACCCCCACCTGGTCCACTCATGAAAGAATCCGTTGCTCTGCCTGATCTGTTAGACTTTTGTGTGCCCAGCTCATCGTCACTGCTACTTTCTTCGACCTCGATTTTGCTTTTTTTGGGAATTGGATTCTTTCTTGGCTTTCGAGGAGTTGACGGATTGGCGGTTTGTTTTCTCTTTCGTGCGTTTGTTTTGGGACTATCCTTATAGTTTTCCACATACTCCTCGTCGCCGCTTTCTAGTACCTCTTCCTCATCAGCATCGTCTTCTTCTTCTTCTTTGAGATCCCCAAAGAACTCTAGCTCATTGTCTACGTACTCTTCGTCGCTCTCCTCAATAGATTCATCCACTTCCTCTTGTACTTTGTCTTTCTTTGGTTTGACTTTCAAAACTATCTTTTGATGTTGCTTATTCGCTTTTGTTGCTTTTGTTGCCTTTTTTGTTTTGTGATCACTCTTTTTACTATGGTAAGATTCTAACACTGAAGGACTAGGGTTGGCCGGATTTACTTTGAGTTTGACTTTGAGAACCTTTGAATCTTTTGTCTCGGTGCCAGCACCACCGCTAGTTCCATTTCCCGTGCCCGTGATGGTAGACTGAGTTAAAATACGGAAAGCATTCTGAAGACCTTTCATAAGGCTACTAATTAGCTCAACTCCATCAGAGATAAGGGCTGGTATATCTGCCCTAACAGCCTTGCGTTGTTCGTTTGTCGCACTAGATGTCTTTTGTAGTTTGTTGAGATCTTCTTGCAAGAATTGAGCAAGGCTGGCGATACCCTGTAGCTCAAATGGAGAAAGTTTTTCAGGAGTATCTTAATTCAAGCCAAAGGTTACTTATTTGATATTTTTAACAAAAAAATATATACACATGCATATTTAAAAGTTTTTTCTTCACTTTTTATACATATATACTCTTTCTCTTACACATACACAAATGTGGATCTATTCTCTTTCTCTCTCTTTTTATAAAATTTACCTTGAAGAGTCTTGTTATAATTGTGTGCAGCGTACCAATTGATACGCTTATAAAAAGGGAAACGGAACTTTTGTGGCACATTTGTCGCATCTTCAATTTCATAAATTTTCAGTTGGGTGGTGATATTGATTCCATGCAAGAAGTTTCCGCCAATGACTATAGCATCTTCGGGAGTGTAGACAGCATGAATCCAGCCAGTTGGGATAATCCTTTATATATATATATGTGAGTGTGAGTGTGAGTATCAGATTTTGAGCTGTATATATATAAACTCAAAGAAAGAAAAACGTACATTGTATTTCCTGCCTTGAGATGTACTGCATAACATTGCTTGACTTGATCACCAAGAAATGTGGAACTTTGATCTGGAGATGAGCTCCATTTTTGGTATTTTTTGAGGTTCTTTGATGTAGGTTCAATAAAATAAAACACTTTGGAACCACTGATTATGTGATAAAATACCTATGAAAGAAAAAATTGTTTTGTTAAAAAAAAAGATGTAAAAAGGATTAGTTACAAAATTGAGCCAATTTCTTTTTGTCTTTGTCTTTGTCTTGCAATTTTGTGTATGGATTTGAGGTTTTTTTTTGGAATCAGGATATTTACAGAAGTTCCTCCAAAATCAATATGACTAATATTCCGCAAAGGTAATAATAGTGATAGTAATAATGCCAAAAACAACAATAGTTATAATAATAATAGTAATAGTAATAAGTTAACATTGAAAAGAAAAATAAAAGAAGATATGTAATTAACTTACAAGTCTGTGTAAGAGTCCTTGGTTCCCATCAAACAATAGAGCTGAACCTTTGGGTATTCTTTTGGTTTCAATTCACTTGGCCACATGTGATCAATCCAATCCATATCACTATATACATACACACGAAAGATATAAAGATATATTGTCAATATCATTTAAAACAAATCAAAGCAAAGCAAAACAGTATAGAACAAAACCAGTCAATTGATTAAGTAATAATGCGTTATACTTTTATTCCTTACCGAACAAATTTTGGTCGTGTAATTCCACGGGCGAATTCAGTGTTACTGATCTCAAGACTGATGACATTTCTTATCCTATCTCTTGTAGGGCTGTGGTAATAAGCTGCCCATCTTCCAACCGTCCAACCAGGTTGTTCAGATTGAGTTCCAACATCTACGGGTCAAATATAGCATAGTATGTTTTGTATTTTTCTTTTAGTCATTATTATTTTCTCAAAACCAAATAGCAATAATAATATATCCACAATATATATATATATATATGCATGTGTGTGTGTAAAACTCTTTTCTTACCAATGACTTCCACTGGTTGATCTTCACCTAGTAACGATTCAGACGTTAATAATAGTAATAGTAATAATAATATGTTATCTTTACCAACAGCTTTTGCAATATCATTGACAGTAATACTACTATCAGGCATTTTCATATCCAAAAATTCGACATCTTCAATCACAAAGGGTTCTGTCATTCCTGTCTTTCGCGCAAGTTCAACTGTGACCTCGTCTCCTTTGTAGCGCTTAAAAGGATCATTTGCAAATGATTTTGCCCTTAATATCTTGCCCCAGATCTTTTCGTCGCCGGTCTTTCCTTCATTCAAATCTGCATAATTGAGACGGGCATGACTTCGACTTGTCTTTCGAGGTTTCTTTTTGTCTATCGTTTAATTGATGTTTAGTTTTTTATTTATATATTTACTTTATTCATTTGAATCATTAAAATAAAAAATAAAAACTTTCAAATTAATTTTTAATGATGGTAATATTACATGTAGTTGGACCAGAAGCAGCTGTACATCCTAAGCAATGGTAACGTTCAATGATGTTGCATTCTTCAAGAGACAAACCCAGACATTCGGCATGATACCATGTCGAACAGGCATCACACTGAAGCCATGTGTCATAAAGAGAAGAGTTTTTTCGCTTGTCTGTGCACAATGGACATTTTTCGGTATTTTCTTCCATTCTTTTCCTTTTATCAAACTTGCTCTCTCTTCTTTTTGGCGTTCTATATGAAGTTAACGGAGTTAGAAATCCTGTAAAAGGCGAGATCTGTAACAATTTTATAGTAAAAAAGTTTGTAGCAATTTTATATGCTGAGTTTGTTACAATTTTAAGCAGTGAAAGTTTGTAAGAATTTTACTGGTAAAAATGTAAACAAGTTAGGCACGTGACTTTTTTGATTCTTTTTTTTGTCCAATTTTCCATGCTTCATTATTTCCCCATAAAAATTAGGCGGTCACTCTTTTTCTCTCTCTAAAGAAATGGTAATACTAAGTTTTGCATTCAAAAATGAGAAAATCAAAACGTATTTGGGATAGTCTCGGGTTAAATTTGAGAAAGTCTATCTTTTAAAAATAGAGAGGGCATGAACTTGTAGAATTATCATAATTTCATTGTTTGGAAATTACGCCTTCGGGTGGACAGTTCAATCAATAAACAATACAAAGAAAAAATTGTTTGGAAATTACGGATCACATACTTGAAAGAAGTTTCTCAAACTTAACCTGAAATTATCTCAAAAACGTTTTGATTTTCTCATTTCTGAATCAGCAATCTTATGGGAACGACGTTTCCCGGTGGGGTATGACATTTTTATATAGCCGGAATAATCAGTTGTGGCTATATGTCTGGGGCCTGGTGTCTTTCTAATCCTTCAGGGCAAAACTTAGTGTCCTGAGAAAACATAATATATTCATTGCACGCATTGGCTTACTACTTTGTCTTCACACTTTGTGTGTTTATCTATCTCTCCCCAGACACCTAATTCTCATTCTTTCAAGAGTTACAGTCTGTATTTGAACAGCTTGATAATGAAATACTGAGTGGATATTTTACGCATAAATAAATAAATAAAACATATTCAAGACTGTACTGAAGTAAAAGAAGCTTAAAGGGATAAACATCTGTCTCTATGTGTTCTATGTAAGTCTATTTCTGCAGAAGCACCTTTACAGCTTATACATATATATATATAAAGAGAAAAAATAATAGCAAATCATAGATAAAGCTAAATTTCCCATTTTTTGGTGTTCTACACGGATTTTGTATTTATTTTGTTGAATGGAAATTTGAAATTGATCGTTTATTTGATTTTGATGTTTTCTATTGTTTATGCGAAGTAATTTTGTAATTTTTTCTTCTTCTTCTTCTTCTTCTTCTTCAAAGGTGATGCTTGTGTATGTATATGTATATATATATTTTTTTGTTCTTGTTGTCGATGATTTTATTTTTTGATTGTTGTTGCTGTTGTTGCTGTTTAAAGGAAGAAACGTTTACGGCTGGTCTCAAGCTCTGGCTTGAACATCCATTCATATTCGCCGTCGCGCTTATAAGCACCCTTTTGCAACCATCGAAGTTTCAGAGTAAATTTAGGACCAAGTTCCTGCAGGCCAACCTTTTCTTCATTTCTAAACACATAGCCTAGATATTAAATTGAATTATAGAGATATTTGAAATTAGTACGAATGAATAAATGAATGAATATGGTATTTTTTGTGCATTTATACAATATATATATATGTATTCATATACGTACGATGACGGCGAACAAAAATGAAATCACGCTGGTTGTGGAAAGTAACGACTTGTCTGCCTTGGAATTCAGGAACGTGTGGGAACAATGCTTGGAACATACGGCCAACAGTGTGGCCAAGTCGAGTGTTGAAGTTATTGAGGATAATTTCTGGGTTGTGGGCAGTAACTCGACCATGGTTCTATAACAAAATGATAAAAACAACAATTTATTAATTTTATTATGAGTATGAGTATGATTATGTTTTTTTTTTACTTACAGGAAGCTTCTTGGCAGGCACAAAGCTTGTCAACTTGAAGTATGCAGTAGGACCATCGGGAAGATGAATTAATGTAACGGCATCTATAACAATCAAAGAGACAGGCACAAATATAAGCATTTAATTTCAATTCCATTACCAGTAATCTCTAATTAATCGTGGATCCAATAAACTTACTTGGTATTTTTCTGTCTTCATTCACAATCAAAAGATCTGTAAACTCCTTTTCTTTTGCGACGTCAATAACCTGCCGTAATTCGTGCTTGGGTCCACGTTTTCCAAACTTGGCATTGGGAAAGATTGAAACCAACTCTGCACAAAAATCATAACATGCCTATAACCAAAACAAAACAACAAAGTTTATATATTTAGAGAGATTAAGATCCATTCACAGTCTCCCTTACAAAATAATCTTGCTTTCTCTCTATTTCTCTATTTGTTATTCATATATATATAAATATATATATATACTCACGGGAGAAGGAGACTTGCTTGATGTAACAAGAACCTTGGATTCTTTTCCAGTAAAATAACTTGCCAACTCATCCATGGCTTCATCCTGAGCTACTTCCTCATCGTTTTCTACCATCGTCTCATCGTTCTCTCGGGTATTCTCAAGGGTTTTTGGAACATTTTCTTGAAGACGTTTCTAAATAATAAAATAAAATGCATTATCAGTTTTTGTTTGTTTGTTTGCTTTTTTTTGCTTTTTTTCGCACCTCTTTAAGTTCTGGGTTTTTTCCTTCTTCTTTTGCAAGTTGTTTTCTTCTCAATGATTTTGCTTTCTGCTTCTCCAATTTCTGTTTCTGGTAAAGATCTTCTCGCTTGTGCTTATTCTTCAAATCGGATGGTCGGATCGATGGCGCCATTGTAAACTTTTAATTATTTATTATTTCGGTATGTGTGTGTGTATGTATGTATAGCAGTGCTAGTAGAATATGTATATGAATATGTATATATATATATATATATAATAGAATATAATATAATATATATGTATGTATGTAAGTAAAGAAGCAAAGAAAAAAGTAAAAAATATGACTTTGAAAGGGAGTAGTCACTTGTGTAGAGTCACCTGGATCACATGACTGTGACGTGAGGAGCTTATTTCCGAACGTCTATGCTTCTTTCCAAAAATTAAAAAAAGTCCGAGATATCCGAACCTTTTTTTTTAAAAAAAAAAGAGAGAACCAAAGAACACCAAAAGACAGATATACTTATATAAGATGTCTTTTAATGACTTGGAACAAGGGTTTGGCTCTGCAGGAAATGGCAGACAAGTTCGTCATTCGGAAGGTTTACTTGGAGGTAAAGATGGTGATTACGAAACGCAATCTTACAACAATTGAATGACAATTTGTACTTTACGTTTTATTTTATTTTTTAAGATGACGACAGGGAATACAAAGCCCTCACCCAACAAGTGTCTCAGCAAGTGTTTCATATTAATGGAAATATCTCAAGTATCGAAAGACTAGTCAACTTTCTTGGAACACCAAAGGATAGCTCTGATATAAGAAATAAACTGTAAGTTTTTCTTTTCTTTTTTTTTTATTAAGCAAATTTGGTTATTTAACATTATGATTATAATTATTATTATCTGTTGTGTTAACTTTTGACTTTAGACATGAGGTTACAGAATCTACCCGAGAACTCATCAAAGACTCAACCAACGATATCAAGAGTCTTTCTCAGTACCAGTCTGGAGATAGTCGAAAGGCTGTAAGTAATAAAAACAAAAACAAAAAATTAATGAATGAATGAACAGCAAACTTGGTGTGAGTGATAAAAGTAGTCTAAATTTTGTCTTCTCCTCTCTTCTTCTTCTTATGTGTGTATGTGTGTGTTTGCATGCGTCTGTGTGCTCAGCGTCAACGTAAACTGGAACAGCAGAAACTCTCCAAAGATTTTCAAAAGGTTTTGGCAGATTTCCAAAAGATTCAAAGAATTTCCGCGAGTAAACAGCGTGAATATATTGACAAAGCAAAAGCTACAACTGCAATGCTCCAATCGAATGCCGCGTAAGTTACTAAAGAACAAAAAGAAAAGGATATGCCATTCCAACTAATTCTTATTATTATTCCCTTTTCATTGCTACTATGCGTTAATTAGAGAGGAGATTATGGAACAAGAGTCTCAGCCGTTAATGGATGATGCTCAAAGACGCCTTCAGTTACAGACACTTGATAATGAAATTGAGTACAATGAGGTGCTGATTTCTGAGCGGGAAGGTGAAATCCAAGGTATTGAGCAAGGTATCACTGAACTCAATGAGATCTTTCGTGATCTTGGCATGCTAGTGAACGAGCAAGAAAGCGGGATTCGTAAGTTGGTGCAACTAGATTAAATATAATTGGTTGTATGTATGTATATTAATGGCTGATATATGCTGCATACATATCTTTTTTAGAAAGTATTTATGGAAATGTGCTCAATATTGCACAGAACACACGCCAGGCAGCCGACGAGCTTACTGTAGCCAATCGCCATCAAAAGAGTGCTAGAAAGAATATGTGCTGTCTCTTACTTATTATTACAGTCGTGGCATGTGTTCTGGCTCTTATCGTTGTAGTTGCCAAGTGATTGACTATATGTATTATTATCATTATTATCCCCCACCTCTTCCCATTCCTCTCTCTCTCTCTCTCTCTCTCTCTCTCTCTCTCTCTCTCTCTCTTTTCTCGACCTTGTCCCACTTGTCAAAATCCGGCAACATTTCTTCTCTCTCTTTTTTTACCTGAATATATTTATGCATCCTCCATAAAGTAACTCTATAAAATATATATATAATACCACTTCTTTTCTTATACTATCTTTTATTGTATTGTATTATTATTATTATTATTGTCATTATTATCATTATCGTTGTGCAATTGTACTTTTCTGTTCATCCTTTTTGGCTTTAGTTTTTCCAGAAGCCTCAAGGGCCTCTGTAACTACAAGTGACATGAATTTCTTATTGGCTTCATCATCAGGCATGTCCAAATCTTCATCCACATCACTCTCCTCATCACCAAATCCAGTGAGCAAAGGGTCATTGTCATAAGTAGGCAATAGATACCTATAAAACACACAAATATTTAGTATATCTTTCCAGAGTTTATTTTTATATATACATACTTTGGATCTTTCCAAAAATCGGCATCATCGCTTACAAATTTCGTGAGGCAACCCTTGGCTGTCATGTGTGATACAAGGTCAGAGAAGTCTTGGAGTGATTGATGACAAGAAAAGCATGTAGCAAGAGATGATTGATGTCGAATGTAGTTTATCAATACAATCGTCTTATAAAAGTCATAACCTAGTAATAATAATCACAAATATTCTTTTGTCAGACCTCTTTGCTATTGTATTTTTCTTTTACTTCTTCCCCTCTATCTCTCTATACACACACACATATGTACGTACGTATATTGAACTTACCCTTTTCTTTTCTGATTGCAGTCAAATCAAATCCGTGTGCTTGCTTCATGTGCTCAAGTGCTTCTTTCGGCGAGGGCAAAACCTGTTCATCGAATAGACACATTGTAGGCTCAGACTCTTCTTCTTCCCAGTCTGCCCAAGACCTTTAAATCCATAGAGAAACATATATTTATATATAGGCATGGTTATAATCACAGTTCTCTCATCGATTTTCTTTTTTATCTTTTAAATTGTACAAAATCCATAAACCCTGTCTCCGCCTTCACCAACAGACCAACAACCCCCCTTCCTATTGCAACTCTGTATCTTACGTATTCCCTTTTCATCCTTTTTTTTCGTTCCCAGAAAAAGAATACTAATAACAAGAACAATATTCTATACTTACTCGTCACGTTTTTCGTCATCGCTCTCGTATGTGTCGTGCTCAAAATTCTCCCAGTTTTTACCAGGCTCGAGGTAATTGATCACATAGAATCTATCATACTGTCTGTTCTTGGATGCGATCTTAAAATGCTTCTTCTTGCGCATGTGCTTACGGAGGACAGCAGGGCTAGTGAAAGTCTTTTCGCAATAAAGACATTGGAGACTAAGTATCATGATTATGATTATTTGATTTAATAGATTGTTTCTCTCATTCTATTATCTATAAAATATATATATATGCATATATGTGTTAATATTTGAAACTTACTGTGAAAGTTTATTTTCCAACATATCCAAGAATTCATTGACATTAACAAGGTTGTCAGGGAGACCAATGTTGAAATTGTGCTCGGAAAACATGTGTTTAAACAAAGCTTGTCTTGAGGATTTGTGTGTATGAGTTTTAATGCAAGAAATTAATAAATAGTACTTGGGGGTTTTTTTAAAATAATAATAATAATGATAATAACAATCCCATTTACCTATTGTCACATACAATCTTGCAGAATAAACACTTTCTGATACGCTTTGAGTCTTGACCACGCTCGGTTTGCTGGGTCTGTAGAATTTCATTCTAGTAAATGTATATACAGTGATTGAATAATAGATTGGTTAGTTAATTAGAATGATAATAACTATATATGTCATTTACCAATTTTGATCTTTGCATTTCTTCACGGATCTTCTTATCCAAATCACACTGTTCGGGATCAATAATATAAACTTTTGTGTATATACAATACAAGTAAGTAAGTAAATGTATGTATACATTTCCTTTTGTATATGACCAAGTTCTACTCATCTATTTATCTAAGTCTATATATATGCAAGCGCTGTTCTTGATCTGTGGTTACCTCCCTTCTCTTCCTTGTCTTCCTGACCATACTCTTTAAGTGACTTTGATTGAATTTCCTTAGCCCACTGTGACAGATATGGATCCAAGGCCATGTACATGTGATGTAAATTGTTAAATACAATGTGATGCTCTTTGCGAAGGTGCGATACTAGGGAGGTTGTATCGGTGAACGGTTCCGAGGATGGGCATTTGTCAAAGGGACATGATATGATGATTGTAGTATGGTAGGGTGGGACAGGCATATCAATCGGATCAGGGCTCTCGTCTTCTTCGTCTTCTTCGTCTGTTTCGTCGTTTTCGGGAAGGTGGTATGGGTTGCTGAGCTCTATGTGAACAGTTTTTTCGGTTGTGGAGGCCTTTACAGGTACACTTTTACGTCTCTCGAGCGATTTGGGACCAGTAGCTCCAGTACCAGAACTAGCACCAGTACCAGCACCACCAGCAGAAGTTCCACTCTCTGCTTTTGGTTTTGTGTGTGTAGAGCGCTTTGCGTTTGTAGGCACTGTCGTTCCTCCGCCGCCACCTCCGCCTCCTGTCGCTGCTCTTCCTCTTTGCTTAGACTTTCTGCGTCCTTGCGAAACAGAAGCTTGTGTTTGATGGTTTCCCTTTGCGGGAACGGTGTGCCACTCTCCGTCTGACATGAATATAAGATAAAAAGAGCAATACAAAAAAGTAGATAGAAGAAATCCGAACAGCATGGAAGTCGGTCGGTGTCTTTTTTTTTTCATGGCATGACTCTTATTTGTGACCTTCTTTTTAAATTCAATTTTCACTCACCAATATAAGAATATCGGTGAGCTATGTAAAAATGAAGAAAATATTCGTTGTTGTACACCATAAAGAAGTACATTTATATATATATGTATTTATAAATATATAACAGTCATAAAATATCATATTTCTAAAGTGTTTATTTCTGACGTTATGTGATTACGATAGCAACAATTTTTTCCTATTTTATTTTATTTATATTACATGTAGCCATCACATTGCTTCACGTCATTGACCTGTTCGGCGGAAGTTGTATTAAACTTCAGTGTTCTGAGTATATGCGTATTTCAATTTCCATTGAGTCGGCGACTCACATAATTACACACATACACTCACAAACCCACACATGGGTCAATACAGAAGGGTGTAGTATTCTACACATGATTCAAACTACAATGTAAGGGATCATGCAAGTTGGGTTTCTTATCTATGTATTTGCTAAAAATGTAATTAGAGTAAAAAACACTTTAAAATAATGAAGGAAAGATATATGTGTGCATGTAGAGCGATCAGTAGAAATATGGAGTGTTTTTGCACTTGAACATCAAATATAATTGCACCTTTTTTTTGGGTTTAATTTTAGTTTTGATCCTGTCAAATTGTCACTAATTTAATGAGACAATTTCTCAAAGAAAAATACATTGCTTTTATTATTATTTTATGGCCAATTAAAAGGCAATGCTGATATGAAGAAAATGTGCTATATGTATAGGTTGATAGATAAATAAAAAAATGATTATAAAAGAAAGAAAGAAAGAAAGAAAGAAAAGAAATGATAATAAGTATCAAGTTGGTAAATCTAGCTGTCAAGAGGCTTTGGTTGAGGAATGAACAAGTCTCCCTTCTTCCATACTGGCAGTGTGCAGTTTGGTAAACTAGAGACCTTTAGGTTGTTGTCTTTGTCAAAAATACCCCAAAACGACTCGCGTGTTTCGTTGAACATGTCTTGCTTCCATGGCTCATCTTTGAACTCGAACCAGAAGTAAGGAACTCCACGGCGGTTTGCCTGGCAGATGAATGTGTCCAGAAGAATCTTTTGGTTCTCGACAGATGGAATGGCGGCTTGAATACTTCCGTCCTCCGGGAAAGTGGGCCATCCAATTTCACTGATCATAGCTGGCTTTGTTTGTGTCTGGTTCAATTTCTCGGCAAGCTTGATGGTTGGATATTGATCAACGCCATAAAAATAGTGCCATGTCCAGTTTGCGGCATCTTGAGGAAGGGTACCGGCAAAGAAAGGATGTACATTGTCCAGAACTGCGTCTTGTTCTGGCATAAGTTTAGGAAGTTCGCGAATGTCACTTGTATACACTGGAATCTTGGGATAGCCCATAGCAATCATCTTCTTTTTGACATCTCTGATGGAAGCTACAAGTGTAGACACACTGACTTCTTTTCTGAACAAGGCTGTAGAAAGAAATAATATATATATATATATATATATATATTAATATTATGAGTTTGTGATTTTTCTTTATTTATTTTTCTTTACCTTCATTTCCAATAGATACTCCAATAATATTGTCGCCACCATAGGTTTCTAGAACACGCCAAAAGGTGTCATACTGACGCTGATAAGTGGTTTGATTGCTGTCAACCCAGATGGTGAGAATTACACCCATGTTTATATTCAGTATCCGCATTCCGTTCAGCACATAGTCGGCCTGATTGCAGTCCATGCCGTAGAGTCTGATTCTTGGAGTGATTTGGTAAAGTAGCCGCAAGTCTTGAATAACTTCTTCTTGTGTTACTCCACATCCGAATTGAAGTTGTGTACCGTGTGGTGTGTAATCTACTCCCCAGAAAGACCGTACCAAACGAGGATCAAGAGGTCCAAGGCCTACAGTTGTGGTGTGGTTTGCTGGAAGATTCCCGGGGTGGGCGGTAGGACGTTTTCCTCTGGCTGGAGTAACCATTCGACTGAGCAAACTCGGTAAAAATGCCAAGGAGAGAACTATGCCGGCAATAAGTATGAGGGCACCAACCTTGAGACACACCGAAAAGGAGCATCTTGATTGTCTTGGTTTGTAAGACTCGGCCAAGATAGAGCCTTCAGAGCTGATCTTGTAAGGAATATCGGTGTGTTCAGGAATCATGATGATTATAGTATATTATATTGTATTATATTATATTGTATTATTACAAATAACAAATTTCAAGTAATCAAGTGTAATAGTATCAATATTAAGAATAATAACAATAAATGGAAAGTTGGAAAGAGATATCAAGATCTCATGGGTTTTGAACAACCTGTATTTATACAGATATTCAGGCCTTAGTGGTTTTTTGTTTTTAGAGGCGCTTGCTATGTTGACATCTCTCTATAAAACTTATGCACTTGCGTTGAATGGATAGATAAGAAATTCATGCCTTTTTTTAATAGAAATTTGCTCATCTTGTTTCAATCTTTTTATATATATATGATTACTCATTGACTGAGATTATATGTATGTTTACGTGTGAGTAAGTGTGTGTCTGTGTCTGTGTGTGTGTTGATTTTTTTGGTATTAAACAATGTCAGCTACAATAAATGTGCTCGGTGAATTATTTCTATTTGTTAGATTTATTTAAAGAAAACTCGATCAAACAACCAAACACATGTGTTCTTACTATTCTTTTTATTTCTATTTATTTTATTTACCTTTTGAAAAGAAAGGATGAATTTGTATGTAACCAACCATTAAAAAAAAAAGAAAGATAAACGAAAGAAGTGTAATCAAAAGCGAACTTTTTCACCAAAAGTTTCGAAACAAATACTAAAAGTTTGTATTCTAACGTACATGCGCCTATACCAATACTATGATTTGATAGTATCGCCATACATACATATATATAGTGCCTATGCTCCCATCAAACGTATTTTGTTGCTATGTTACTTGCTCCCAAACATGGTTGCTTAAGCTGTATTTACAACGTCAGTCGTTTTAATAGATAATTTATAGAGCCAGCCTTGGTTTCATACATGCTTAAAAACAAGTGGTTTACCTCTTTTTGTGTTATGTAGCAGTTTGACAGTTCACATTACAGTACTTATCTACTTGTAGAAATTTACATATCACTGTATATATATGCATACGTGTATTTGTCTGTGTGTACCTGATATATAATAATATCATCGTTTTATCATTTTTAGCCTTAGAAACACAACCACTCATAAAGAACTTGTCTGGTGTCTTGGATAGAAACTCATTCAATCCCATGTCATTAGAATATACTATTGTTTTGTGAATAAATAAATAAAAAAGCCAAATTGAATCGAGTTGCTACAACCTTACACATACATACACTTATATGTATATAATACATAAACACAATTAATGTCTAGATAAGGTTTTAATGAAAATTGGAGCATAAACAAAACTCGACAGGTATTTTATGTTTAATGCTTGTAAAATAAAAACAAAAGCTGCTACCTTTACAGCATGTGTAAATATGCTTTTGTTTTATTAAATGGACTTTATAACGTATACTAAAGTACCAAAGATAGATAGATTTATAGAAATATGTTCAGTTTATGATCAATTAAAGGTTGTCTGGGTACCATCATATTTGAGTAATATCTTGCATTCATCTTGTACAAAAATTGGTAAACTATCGGTCATAAACTCTGAAAAGTATGTATGTTTTTTTTAAAAAAAAAAAGGTCTTTGGAGATACTCTGATAGCAAAGATTAAATATTTTATTTATTTCTTCATAAGATTTTCTGTAAAACATATTCTCTTTTGTCTGATCTACTCCTGCACTGTACAAGTAGATCATCAACGATATATTGGAGCATGTTTGGCCACTGAAATGGTTGCAAATTCACTGTAAGGGAAAAGAAAAATCTAAGGCCGGGGCTTTAAATCCTGCCATATTTTACAATGTGTATAACGCGATAATCTCAATGTAAAACATATTGCGATATTTTTATATTTTACACATTTTAATTGGACAAATAAATATAACGGCGCTTACATGTTCATTTTTGCTTATTTATCTGGAAGAGTTGATAGGTTCATATTTATTATCAAATCGCCGTGTAAATGTGCAAATACAGATATACACACACACACAAAATTAAATGCCTGCTTCAAACTTAACATTTGACAAGTTACAATTTTTTGAATATTCATTCGTTTCCATATTTGATATTCTATATATGTATTATATATACTTTTTGCTGGTACCAGATAATATGCTAAAGAAAGGAGATAGCAAAAATTTATTGTAAATAATTCTTCTATTTTATTTTATTTTATTTTATTTTACTCTGTTCTGCTTTGCCCTGCTCTGTTCTTGAGACATAAAATCTTTTATGCTGTAAGGGAACAATTATCTTCGGATTCTCAATTGAATTCAGACGTCACTAATTCTTACGTATGCCTCTTGTGAGTTTGTGCACAAGGTGTAATTAGCAAGGCCGCGTAGAGGGAAAGGAGCAAGGACGCGCATAGGCTAAAAAAAAGAAAAAAAAAGTGGGAAGAACTGAAAGTCAGTTTTTTTTTATTCTTAACCTCTACAATGTCAACCGCTGAACCCAAGAAAGAAAAGAAAGACCAGGCCGAGGCCATGGAGATTGTCGAGGATGCAGAAGCCAAGCAGCTCCGTCTGGCAAAGGAAACAAATCAGGCTGTACTGTCGGGTAAAGAGAAAGACGCATTTGCAGAAAAGGAAATGTCATCGCATTTGGCTGTTACTAATGGAATCTATAGAAATCAAGCGCAATTTTACACTCTTGGAGCGTGCAGTAGACACATTAGAATCTCGCTTTACCACACGTGTCCTGAGAACCGTGCCATCCATTCGCCGTCGACTTACATCACCTGTTTTGGCACAAGTGATCTCTGAAACTTATGGTGCACGTAAGTGATTAAGAAATCGACTCGCTCGTGTATCTAAGAATATAACATAGATGAAGAAGAGAAGAACGAATTGTTGCAATATCTTGGAGAGGTGAGAGAGAATTCAGGCACCATTTTTAGATAGCTCTTTTTTTTCCTTTTTGGATTGAATATCTCATCATAATATTCTTCTTTAGAAATCGAATGACATGGAGGTTGATAGTGCAGCTGAGAAAAATGGATCAGTTCTTCCTGAGATCGACACCTACCTTCATTTACATGTCCTGATAACTTTGTTGGATAAGAATGAGCTTAAAAAGGTTCGATTAGTGTAGTATTTGGAAGGAAGGAAGAAACAGAAACAATTCGAGATATTGATCTTAATACTATTACTGATTTCAGGGCACTGAGTTGGCAGACAAGACTGTCAAGAAGATACTCCTTTTGAACCGTAGAACTCTTGATCAGCTGGCTGCCCGTGTGTATTTCTATCATGCACGTTTCTATGAATTGACAGGTCGTCTCGCTGAGATCAGACCGTGAGTAGCCTGCTATAAAACATAAATATTTATATATATTTGTGTGTGTGTATTTGTTATTTCTGACGCTTTCCTTTACTCTTAATTTTTACAAAAAATATCAGTCTTCAGTTGGCTGCTCATCGAACAGCTACCTTGAAACACGATGATGAGACTCAGGTAAAATATACAATCACAATATATATACATATATAGAAAATTTGGTATTGTGGACTAAAGAAATAGAATTTATTCTCATAATTTTAATAGGCTACATTATTGAACCTACTTTTGCGAAACTACTTTGTGCATAACCTTTACGACCAAGCCGATAAGCTTGTCTCAAAATGTGCATTCTCAGAAAACGCCGGAAACAACCAGGCTGCCCGCTACGCTTACTATCTTGGACGCATCAAGGCACTCCAGCTTGATTATACCTCTGCTCACACTTACCTAACACAGGCAATTAGAAAAGCACCTCAAAACAACATCACTGCTGGATTCCAGCAGACTGTCAACAAGTTCTTTATTGTCGTCCAACTGTTGATGGGCGAGATCCCTGAACGTTCGCTTTTCAGACAACCTATTCTTAAAAAGGCTTTAGCCCCTTATCTCCATATCACTCAAGGTAATATATATCTGTACACAAATGTTTGTCTTTCATGAACAAACCCAACTAATGTTTTGTGTGTGTTTGTGTGTGTGTATGTGTGTGTGTGTGTGTATGTGTGTGTGTGTGTGTATGTGTGTGTGTGTGTGTATGTGTGTGTGTGTGCGTGTATGTGTGTGTGTGCGTGTACAATAATAATGATAATATAAGCTGTTCGCATCGGTGATCTTAGCAAATTCCAAGAGTGTTTGGCTCAATTTGACGCCGTTTTTAAGAAGGATAAGACATTTACCCTTATCCTCCGTCTGCGTCACAATGTCATCAAGACCGGTATCCGTATGATCAGTCTCTCGTATTCCAAGATCTCCCTGAGAGACATCTGTATTCGCCTCCACCTGGATAGTGAAGAAGATGCCGAATTCATTGTTGCAAAGGCTATCAGAGATGGTGTTATTGATGCCACTCTGGACCACAGCAGAGGTTTTATGAAGAGCAAGGTAAATTTATATATAGAATCTAACTTTTGAATTATTTTTATCTAATTTAATTTAATATACATATTTATTTATTGATGTATTTCTTTATTATCTAGGAAATTCTCGACATATACTCAACAAATGAGCCCCAGCATGCTTTCCATCAGCGTATCAGCTTCTGCTTGAACCTCCACAACGAAGCAGTCAAGGCCATGCGTTTCCCTCTCGATGCTCACAGAAAGGAGCTTGCCAGTGCAGAAGAAGCAAGAGAAAGAGAACGCGAGTTGGCTCAAGAAATTGCTGAGGGTGATCTTGATGAAGACAATGATATGGCTGACTATTAAAGTTACAACAACTCTCTTTCCCCCCCCCCCTTTTTTTACAAGTCCATTTTTTTTTCATTCAATAAACAAATGACAAACATTTTTCAAAATTTCTTGAGTTTTGTGGAAATTATGAAGAATTTTTTTTAAAAGAACTATTTTTTTTGTAATAAAAAAAATGTCGAAAAGAAGGAAAAAAAAACCCCCTGGGAACAAAAGCATGCTAGTATTTTGTAGGATATAAACCTTTTCTTACACTGTTAAATCTTGAGCACAAACACAAGTTCATTAAAGCCAAATGTGAATATAAAAGCATGAGGGGGTGGGGGGTGAGAAGTTATCATAAACTCCATTCTAATCTCTTTCAACGCTACATGATAGAAAGAAAACAAAAAAAACAAAGGAATGGTGTTATAAAAAAAGGTACATTTTGAACAATCAAAGTAAAGATTTTATCAAAATAAATAAATAAAGAAAATTACCTCTTTACACTGCCGGCAGGGGATCTGGATCGGCTTCTGGAGTACGAGCGTTCACGTCTGACAGAGCGTTCACGGCTAACATCTCTGGATCTCTCGTGGCTCAAATCTCTAGGAGGAGATCTTCTGGTGTCCTCAGCCTTGATGTCGTCCATCTTATCATCTTCATCACGGCGACTGGATGATCTACGAGGAGAGCGGGAACGTGAAACAGAAGGAGAACGCGAACGCGAACGGGAAGGCGAAGGCGAGCGGTCACGGCGCGAAGAGCGACGACGAGGAGAACGGGAACGGGAGGGAGAGCGGGAGCGCGATCTACGGCTAGAAGAACGGTTGCCGGTATCCTAAATAGCCAAAAACGATAATAATTATTATTGTCGAAGACGGGTGTATGTCTAATGATGTAATGCAGCTTATGGAATCAATCATCTAGTTACCTCACGGAGAGAGATACGTTGACCGTTCAGTTCGCTGTCGTCCATCTTGCGAAGAGCATACTCCATATCAGAGCGCTGTGCAAATTCAACAACACTAGATAAATGATTATTTTGTGGGGTTAGATATTGTTGAGGGTTGTAAGACGTAGACGTAGACGTACCCTTCGCCAGGACGGCCTCTGATCACGTCAGCAAAAGTGACCTCGCCAGCTTTACGCATTAAATCTTTAAGATCCTATCAGAACATCCGACCACAATTGGAGCAGAGACGGAAGAACCCAAGGAGAGGGGGAGGGGAATGTTTAGATTGCTGGCCAATAGAGAAGGGGAAGGAGACTTCGGGTAGAATGGACAAAGGGGGGAAGCACCGGAGTAGACATTTGTCCTCTTGGCCGGAAATGAACTCGTACCTGCCACGGGGTTCCAGAGGGGATATTGTCAACCAACAAACGGTAACGGGACTTTCTGCTGTTTACGTCGGCAGGAACAGTAAATAAAAACTGCGTGAATATGCTTGCGAATCACATCCTCAAGAAAAAACTAATAAGAGTAATCAGTTCATTGCTCACCGTTCACTGCCACGGCCATCACCGCCCTCACGACCACGGCGAGTGCCGCGGGCCAATTCAACAATCAATCTGCAAAGAAGGTGTTAGATGTACAATCTATAAATATCATTAAGAGAAAGGTGTACCTTTCACCAAGGAAGTCTTTTCCATGGAAATCGTAAACAACGTCTTCGGCATCGCGAGAATCTCTAAATTCAACAAAGCCAAAACCGCTTTTGATGTTGATTTCACGGATTTCGCCATAGCCCTTGAAAAGACGTTCTAAATCACGACTTCTTGCGTCGCGTGCAAGACGACCAACAAATACTCGAGAAGACATGATTAAGATGATGGTAATACGAAAGGAATAACGCCAGGTCGTCCTTTGTTTGGCTATACCAAGAACGGATTTCTGCCCCGGCGACTCAGCCACTCACTGTCACACAGAAGAAGAAAAAAAATGTCGTGTGTATGTATGTGTATGTATGTATGTATGTATGTATGTATGTATGTATGTGTATGTGTGGTGATTTTAAATAAGTGGAGGGAAAAATAAAATGCTCTTCATTTCATTCAATGCGTACAAGGCCTAACTATGAAGAGTGTATAAAGTGAAAAATTTGCTAAAATAAAAGGCTCATTTTTATATCTCTTGTAGTAAAGGTAGTAATAAGCAAAAATAACTGACTAAACTTAGGATACACTTTTTTTTTGATAAAAGACAATTTTTATATGTAAAATTAGAAAACCAAAAGGCTTTATGTGATCTTAATTGCTTTGAATTCTGCTACTTTTGAGATGTTCGTTTTACTATTTAGAAACTCTCTACGGTGAGACTTCTTCTACTTTTCTGCAAAAAAAAATTTTTTTTAAACAAGATGAAGTTTCGACATTTAAGTAAGGAGGCTCAAAAAATGTCCTTATTTTCTGGTCAATAATAAAAAGTATTGGGTTTTACATTGATGTGTGCGTGTAACATAGAGTGTATCTTTTTATAGTGTATATATTTTATATCTAAAGCTAGAAAACTATAAGGCTTTTTGGGATCTTAATATATTTTGAAAGCTGTCTGCTAATAGATGTGCTTATTATTATTACAAAATCTTTGTGGTGAGATATCTGCTACTTTTCTGCAAAAATATTTTTGTTAAAGATAAAGTCTCAGTATTTAAGCAGTGCGGCCAAAATGACATTTTTATTTTCAGCCAATGATATATATTTCTGAATTTCTAACTCACATATATAAAGTAGAGTATGCCTTTTTGTACAAGATAATTTACGTATACAGTCAAAGCTCGATATAGTGATATGGATGGTGGACAGAAATTTTATCACTATCACTATATCGAGCGTGTTTTTTTCTTACTCCGCGCATTATTTAGTGATATTTCTAATGCCGTTGTGAGTGACTACTGTTTTCTAATAGGATTTATAGTATTTTGTCTAAGAAACTGGGCTTGCTTTAAAATGCTAAATAAAATATATACTACATTTATTTTTTTATAGTACAAAAATAAACTCAGAGCTCGATATAGTGATACTGGTGGATTCAAATTTTATCACTATCACTATATCGAAAAATAGTGATAATAAGCAGGCACGGGCCCAAATTTTCCAAAAAATTATCACTATATCGAATATCACTATACCGAGCTTTGACTGTATAAAGCTTAAAAAGACTGTAAGACTTTATGGTATCTTTATATTTTTAAATTCTAATTACTTTAAAGTATTCTTTACGTTATTTAAAAGTACTCTACGGTGAGATATTAATTACCTTTTTTTGATATTGTTACAAAAGTACATTTTATCGATAAAAAAGTAAGAAGCTAAATATAAAAGATGTTAAGTTGGTGCAATGAATAATTGAATAAAGAATGTAACGAAAGTATGATCATTGATTTGTGAAAGTAAGTGTATAGTCGGCTATAAAAGATAAAGGGAAAGAGAAACTAGGAAGGTGATCTTAATTTACAATTTTGAAACAGAAAAGTTGTAATACTTGATTATTACTGTATCTCTCTAATATAGTCCAATATATGGGTGGTAGTTTTTTAATGAAAGTCTTATTTATCTTTGGTAGCCTTTCAGCGCTACTTGGGCAAAATTTAGGTGTAGGTGGGATAAAAACTACAAAGAAATAAGGGCAGAAAAAGAGAAAGATATCACATCATGACACAACGGAATATGTCAAATTTTTGTTTTGAGATTTTTGAATAGAAAAGTAAACACTAAATTGATAACGATGCTCTTATAGATTAGTTTCTTTTCTCATTATTTTTTACATATATTATACATGCTGTTTTTCACTGCCATAAAGTACGACTTGACTTGGGCACGATGATAAAATTCATCCCATAATATATATTACTTTCGATCACAATTGTGTGAATGCAACGTTGGAACAAATCCAGAAAATTTGATATTTAACTCTGATCATATCATATAATATATTAATATATTGAATTTAAAAGGTATCTGATCAAAAGTCAGTCATTTTGTAATTAGTATCAAAGTAAAATAAAATGAGCAAGTAGAAGGAATTCATTTGACAAAAAGTCTATCTTTTTGTATAATCTAGGCATAGTATGAGGGAGAAATCAGCATATCGCTTAGCATAGACAACTGGTCTTCAGTAAATTTGTTCATGTCTTCATGCCAAGCATCAGAATGTGTGCGCCTAAAGTCAGAAAATGTCTTGCGTACAGTTGACTAAAAAAAACATATCCTGTTTAGAAAGTAGTTATAATCACTTATTTTCATTGTGTTCTTACTTGAATTTCGGCAGGGTCTGACATACATCCGGCCAACTCGCACAAAACAAATGGCATCCATTTGGGAACTTCGTAAGGGAATGCGTTCACTAGGCAAGAAAGACCAAGGGCGCCTGCATGCTTACTAAGCATAGCCTCTGCGAATCCAGCAGGTTCAATGACTTTTCCAGTCGTCGGGTGTCTTCTTCTCTTTGGAAGTCTAGTATCCAGCTGAGCCGAAAAGCGCTTTCTCAGAGAATCAATCGCATCTCTTTGAGAGCATCGGACCAAACCACCTAATGTAACAGCTGCCATTTGCCGTACCTAAAACAATTTTGTGTGCCTTTAAGTATCTAGCATTATTTATACAACCCTTACCTCAATCTGGGGATCAAGTAACATCGCACTTATTATCTCCATAATACGCAAAATCTGATCTCCATCCATGACAAACAAGTGCTTGAAGAAGAAGATCTGCAGAACTGGTAAAGCACGGATTCTAATATGCCAGCTAGAAGACGTTTTGAGAATATCAATAAACTGCTGAATCAGCTGGGGTACCATTGATGGAGGATATGATAGTTGAGCCATTAAATGTAGTACACGTGTTGCCATCTGCTGTAGATCTTGATCATCGTTCATCTCTTGCATTTTAAAGAGACGCGGCATAAAAGGAAGGACGTATGGCAGTGTACCTGCCACTCGCCAATGCTTTACAGCTTCATGAAGCCAACACAGAACTATTAAATTACATACAGGTTAGAACAATTCATAATTTTGTATATATCTTGGAATAACTTGCCTGTCTTGCTTGCATTGGTATAATCACTAGAACCCACTGTAGATCTCTTCTCAGCCTCCGCCAACCAATGATCCAAGTGCTTGATAACATCTTGGATGTGCTTCTCCTGTCCCTGTTCGGCCAACGAAAATGGGACATTTCCTACACCGTCTTGTTTTTCACGTGCATTAGAAGACATGAGAGCCTCAACGGAAGGGAGGGCCGGAACCCATTGTATTTGCATAATTTCGTTGATATTTCCACCAATAACTTCGCGAACTTGTTTGTAAGGATGTTGAAGGTTACAAAGATATGTTTCCAAAAGACGGTCGCTAAAAGGTAACATGCGCCACTTCAAAGAAGTCATCAAAGTGCGCACAAGAAGTAACTTTCTGGATTCAGAAAATGCAGCGTCCGATGTAGGATCAAACTCTGCCTTGAGAACCAAATCAATTAGAGGGCGAATACGTCTAGGATCATGGTCAGACTTCAAAAAATATTAGATTTTACCAGTAAGCTGTGTTAAGTATTAATACTATATAGATACGTACTGAGCAAAATCTCACAAAGCTCTCCCAATAAGTAAGCGAGTCAGGCGTGATGCTTGAAAATGTCTTTTGAAGCAACGGAACAAGCCATTCCCAAGTTTTCAGAGATTTGGAAACAGGCCAATGCTTCATACCTCGCACAAGTCCTCCCAATAGTTCCGCAGCTGCTCTTTGATGATTTTTCTGATCTGATGCATTGCACAGACCCTCGATAATCTCTTTGCAAACAGACAGAGGTCCATCTTGAAACGATTGGAAAATGCTACAGAACAGTCTTCCGTGGGACATGGTGAAAACATCTTCTTGATTCCGACTAGTCTCTTGAGAGATATAGCCGCTCATTTTCTGCCAGTAATCAAGAGATAAAAATGCTTTCTTGAGTTCGTTATAAGCTTCCTGACTCTCTGGATCAACCGTAGGGATTGTTTCGTCTGTACAGATTTCATAGGCTTCATACGTCTTTGGCCAAACATACCATCCTGTAGTTGTTCTGTCGACAAGAAGACTACTCACACAAAAATACTTAACACGTTATCCTCTGTAAGTTTTAATTTGATAAATTACCTTGTCTTTGCATTTTCCACGGTTATATGTTGACAGGAAACCTCCAAAAGCTTCTGTGACATATGAGTATTTTTACCATCAACTGAAATGATGCGCTTTAAAGGGTTACGGGTACTTTTTGTGATGAGTAAGTCTTGATCACCCTCTGCAAAGGTTCTCTGTTTGATATAAAGCAACAATTGTGTTGTGGCACCAACTCCAATACGACGTAAAGGAGGTAACTCAGATAGAGCACATTTATTGGCAAACTCGGCAAGTCCTGCTGTTGGGGCCATCTCAGGGCGCAAGAAGAGCTCCAAGAAGTTGGCAGCCATGGTAGCATACCGCCAATGAACTTTTTTGTCTTTCATAACATCCAACAGAGATTGTATCAGTTGATGGTAGGATTGTATTTGGTTTTGCTGTCTTTCAGTAACTTTGGTTTCAAGTGCTTTCGTCTTTTGGATTGCAGCACCAGAAGGATACAATTTTTCCAGTGAAATGTTGATGTCGTTGGGTACAATTGCTCGGAAAGAGAATGTATTGTAATGTGACACATAGTCTACAAACACTTTACGGATGAGTTCTTGAATAGATGGCTAAAAAAAAAGGACGTGTGTTAGTTACGAGTAAGGAAACAAGATATATGAAGATGAACCTTGTCTTCATGTTGGGCTCTGCATATGGCTAAAACAAACATTGAGATGAATTTCCAGTCACGTAGACAGATCATCAAAAGAGACTTGTGTGTCAGCAAGTAAAGTGATCCCTTCATTCGACTTGCGCTGTTTGTCTTGTCAGCTACAGGTAGTTTTTGTTAAATTAAGATCCTTACGCGTAGTATTAAATATTTTCTTCGATTGGAGTTATAACGGGGTTACTTACTGTCGTTCTTTTGCTCAAGGGCTTCGAGTATCGTTGGCATAATCATATACTTTGCTCCCAAGAAGTACCGAGCCGAAGCGCTGAGCGCGTTTTGACTCATCCTGAATATAAAGTAAGAATCAACTCTATTTACAAAAACAGCACATACTTTCTAATTTCTGCATATGAGCTCAAAGACAAGTCAAGAATATCCTGGAGTAGATTATCATGGAATTCTGTTCGAACTCTGCCTTGGAAGTTTTGTCGAAGGCGGAGCAAGTGATGATTATAAGCTCTGCGGACTAGTAGTTACAAAATTTAAGTCCTAGATATCCATAATCTGATACACATTTTAAATTTTACCTAGTAAATTACGAGGATAGCTCTTGTGGCTCAAAGGGGTCTTTCCGAGACCCTTTGCATAGTTGTAGCCATTTTTGCTTCGTTCATATAACGCCTTTTCAACACCGCGTTCGGTCAAGAAAGCTCGGGTGATCTTAATAACGATTTTGATACTTTCAACATCATCTTCACGATGTGTTTTGAAGTAAAGAGCTATCTTGTGAAGAAGCTCTCCTATGTTTTTTCGAATTGCTCGAGCCTTTTCAGTTCTTGGATCAGTTCCGGTAAATGCATATCCAGCCACAAGTCTCTGGGCTGCTCTGAGGTTCACGATTTCGTCGTCACTAAAATTAAGTGGTTTTTTTTAAGTCATAATGTAGCATGTTAAAAAAATGTATATGTACCTTGTATCAATTGTTTCAGGTTTACTTTCTTCATCAATGCCATCGTCTTTCACCATTGTAGAGCTTCCCATAAGGCAGTTACGAACAATTGCCAAATGTCTGCAAAATTCATTAGTGAGTTCATGTGTACTGGTAGGCTTGACAACGTTGGGATCGTCACTGATAAGTTCTTCCAGGCGTCTTAGAGAAGGTGTCAGGAAGGTGTCAAGAAATTCAAGCGCGAAATTCTTTTCATCTTCATTGGGTGTATGCCAGTCGATGGCAAGGTCTTTCGGATTACCAGGCTTTCCCCACAATAAATGTGAATTGCCCATGAGATCTAGAGGTCCAAGGTTTATTTTCCCGATTTGTTTGATTACCAGATTTTATTTTTCTACTATTACCTTTATTATTCCATTCTTCTGGTTTAAGATTTCTAAAATCTTTGGGATAGGTTTCCAACAATCCCTTGAGAACATTACGAAGGAACTTTCCTGTCCACATAACACCCCTACGACTACGACACTTCGCAATCATTTCGTGACCAATATCGATAATCTCTGTCTTATAGTTCAGAATTTCTGGACCGAGCATAGAGACAACAGAAAACAGAATGTTCTGGTTCCAATGCAAAGTTGAGTCTGATTGAATAGGATTGGAAGAAGCCGAATTGGTAATAGTTGAAGATGCGCCATAGTCAAGCTCGGTCCTAATATTAGCAATACAGAGAGGAATAAAATGTTTGGCTGCCTTTTTGACGTTTGCAGATGTAATTGAATCGCACAACAATCCAGTCGTACGCACTGCATTGGGAATGACCTGGTCATTAACAAACTCAACAACCATTCTTAGAGCCAGATCATATAAATTATCGGACAGTTGCCCAAACACCACATCACATGCATGCAAAAGCATTTGCGTAACACCAGCTTCCATAGCACCGCCCTGTTTTTTTCTGTCATGTTGAGGCAAATTCTCAAATATGGTAAACACTCTTCTTAAGAATTTGGCGAGCCATTCTTCAAATTGACCTGTTGTCGCCTTGCAGAGTTGATCTTCTACTTCACGAGGAAGCTCTTTCACATGATTCTCGTCATCAATATCCATTTCATCGTAATGAGATTCTCCGTCAACAGCAGGATTATAATAGCTATTTCCGTCTGTCAAGTCTCTGATTGGGACACTCATAACAGCAGTAGCTATGAACATCAATGCTCCCATGGCTTTCATTGGATCATTCATGTCAATACCAGGTGTAGCTAAATGAAGTAGAGGAAGCAAATGTTTTCCGCCTGCAGGATAATGATCGCGTGAAAGCATTGGGAGTGCAATATCGGCAAGGATACTGAGTGCACTTGCTGTTCTGTGGGTCTGCGATATTGTCCTTCATTAGTGTTTATGAAAATTTAATTAAGCTATCATTTTCACCTCTGTTAACGTTTCGAGAGAGGGATATATCCGCTCAAACAATCCGGGGAAAATCAATGTAGGTTCCAACCCTTTAAGAAAAAAAATAGATATGTATTAGCCAGTAGGAAGCACTACATAATATTTGTGCTCTTACAAGATAGATATGTGAGAGTAGATTGACTTGCACCGACTGTATAATGATCTTTTCCGAACATGCTGAGGTAAATTACAGGGCGAAGAATCAATACAAATTCTCTGCGAAGGTCTGATGTTAATCTACGCTCCACTGGTGTATTACAATCGTCATCTCTTTCTATAGGGGAATAAAAAGATCTGTTTAATATTTGCCTCATTAGCTAACAGTATATGTTAGCCTTCGATTACCTTGCTTCCACCGCTTTAAGAATTCTGAAGATAAGTGACAAGCAAATACAGCAAGGGGATAAGACCAAGAGCCATGGTTAGACGGATGGTAATAAAGCTCAATAGCCTGAATCAGCTCTCCGAGACAAGAGAGAGTAAACGATGACTCAGTGCCATCTTGGTGATTCTCAGGAAACATTGTATAGACCATTAGACGAGCCAATGACTTAAATTTCTCCTACAATCCGTTCATTTTTTGTTATTTAATCATGGTCAATTTCAATCCTCATATTTCCAAATAAAAGCAATTTCTTTATCTTCCACTTACTGGTTTTCTTCTAAGGAATAAGGAATTCCCTGCTCTAATATCCACTTTGAGCCCATTATTTCCATAGCCTGTAGTTCCACCTCCTGCACTACCACCAAGACTACCATCTCCACGACTTCCAACCGGTAAATTCATCATACGTAGACAAACAGTGAATACTGTCTTGATCTGCTGTTTGGTAAAAAGTCCAATTTCCTGCCAATCTTTTGTGTCGGTATTGTGTTCTGCAATGCGCGATATAAGGTCGGTGAACTGTGCATCATACGTAGTGGAGCATGTGAAGATGGACCACATTGAGAAGATTGTTGGTAAATAAGCTTTTGGAGTCATGGACGTATTTGAGAGTTGATGGTGTGTGACCGAATGCTTTGGAACTACTACGGGAAGGAACAATACGATATAACCTTGAGCTAAAATCGCATCAGCAATTGAATGGGTTGTAAATTTAGGCAAAAATTCGTCCAGAATTTCTTGAGTAGCTGAAGGTTCAAAAAATCTCTGGCAATGCTCCACAAGACGTAGAACAGAACCCATATGCTTGCTGTTGACAATACCATAGATCAGGAGGTTATTATGTCTTGTTCGTTTTTTTATCTATTTGCAAATCCACTTACGACTCTGAGATTAATGTCCTTTGTCGTGATTTAGGAAAGATTGATTTGTCAATGCGCTCGTATAAAGGCCTCCATGGCAATGTCAGGTCTTCTGGACCGAGCCGTTTTGTCTTTCTGTATTTCCATTAGACAAAGAAGATGGTCATCAATCGCAAACTTTACCTTATCAGACGTACACATAGATTCGCCCACAATTCGATTAAAGCAGTGTCCATTCCAGGGGCAATTGTTAAATCGAACATGATTTTTGCTAGATTAGCTCGAACATCTCGAGAAAGAGCATGCTTCATGTCCAAATAGCTAGAACGATATTAGAATTTCAAGGTCTCGATCCTGGCGATCTTGTCTATATTACCTGCATAGGCGTCTTGTCCAAGCAACAACTCCAGACTGGTAGTCCTGGGCTCTGACTGCGATCGCTAAATTTGTACAAATTGTCTCTAACCATTGCTCTGCCTCTCCGCCAAGTAAATGAGCGTAAGGCAAGGCCTGACTATAATACATTGTGTGATGGCTATCGTCATCTATGACGGATTGAGGTATGGACGCAATGGTCCTGCTCCCACTTATTGTTTCCGATTTTTGCATAGAAACGCACCGCGTGTATAGTAAATGCAATGCGTAACAGGAGAGCGAACTACAAGGAGTTCGGCCTTTTATACAGGTCCACTCCGCATGACTTCTTTCAGAAAAAATATGACGCGTACAGCCAGATTCGTCACCCTTTGATAGCCCTAGATTTAAATGTAGTATATTCGCTAAGCATACATAAGGTGCATGGCAAAATAACTAGCCGAATGTGTATTTTATGGTTGACTGCGGTAGGTTCAAGTTTAATATATCCAAAGAAGTACTGGAAAATTAATTATCCTTATCCATCAATGTCTGGTATTGTAGGTACGTTTATAGTTTGTATTTGTCATTGTTCATAATATTTCGGATATGAAGGAATTAAGCCAATGAGATAAATATTCTACAATTACAATTCACTTGGATATCTATATATGTACAGCTGATATTAGGGTGCTTCTAAATTGAAACTCTAATCAGAGCTTTCTCTTCATATTTTCCTTTATAAAATAAATATAATCTGTACATAATCCAATGAACAGCACTTTAATATAAAAAAGATACTCATTACTGTACTAGTGTTTAGCCTAAAGCCATTTTACACGATAACAAGATAGATAAATAAGATGTATCTGGAATGATCGATCCACTATATATATATAATGGTCATGGTATGATGATAGCATTCACTTTGTATTTAGTTCTTTAATTTTACTTTGGTTTGATTTGCTTATAATTTGGAATAAATTATTAAGGTATACAAATAGTGCGAGTAGTTTTTTACACCAATGATAAAATTAATATTTAACATTGAAGGTTCTTTCAATCTACCTAATCAAGTGAACAGCATGAGTGGAAATGATTACAATTCCACAAAATAACTATTTTCCAAAAAGATCGGTATGCAACAATGTTTGGTAATATATTCAATACAAAATACAAAAGAACTAGTATAAAATGGCAATACAACAAGCCTGCTAGTCTCTTTAAATACAGAGCTTTTCCTTTCAATTTATACTCTACGTTCAACATAACTCTGGATCATTCCGACAGGTGTGGGTTCATAATCCTTCAAAACAACCTTTCCATTCTCAATGAATGTGTTCGCTTGGACAAACACCTTGCGTGGCTGCTTATTACGGAGTACAATGTCACGCATGTGAGTGGCCCACTTTTCAGGAACACTGGTAGCTTCAAGGTAAAGCTGAGTGCCTAATTTTTCGGCGGCCATAGCCTTGTAAACCTGAAGCTTATTCAAAAACACAGCAACGGCAGGTGCGCCGACGGATCTAATTTTGGAACGATCCAAATGAATCTCTAGTGTTTCTTCTCCATTAGAATCCTTGATTTGCTTGATTTCAACAAATCCTTGACCAGATTTAAGCATTGTGTTCAAGATAGCATATCGTGCCTGCATATGTGCTTGTCCCCACTAAAATTCCAAAAACAAGTTTAATTTTTTTTGCACTGATATTTACTATTCTCACGCATTATAACGCATACCAAAACCCTATTTTCTATTGTTGGACAAAAAATCAAGGTTCAGAGCAAGTGCAGCATTCGCCATAAAAATATGATATTTCCATGTAACATTTGAACCATGATTTTGGTTGTCTAACAAAATCGTAACTCACAACCCCCCCCCCCCCCCAAA